ACACGAGCGGGGCACCGGTAACGGATAAGAAAGCTGGGGATCTACCATGAAATAAAATTCCAAATTTTCGGATTCAATTTCGTGTTTTTGTTGTACCGAAATTGGCCTTGTAAATGGAGCTTAACATTTTATTCGTCATAAATCCGGAAAATATTTCACGGTAGACCTTCAGGTCAGTTGGCCCATTGTGACGAATATGTCAAGAATAACTCGCGATATTATTCAGAAGGAACCGCAAGGAGGTCGACCTGACACTGTATTCCATAGTGCATCACAGTGCACTCTGTGTATAGTATGCTGTTCATGTCTATAGATGCCGGTTATGGCAGTGAATTTACAGAGTACAGAGACATAACATCTCAGTTCTCAGGAATGGCAACGCATGGCGAGTATCATGGGCGAAACAGTTTACTTTCTTATGTCTATAGTACTGCTCATGTCTATAGATGACGGTTACCACTTTTTATCAAGTGGGCCGTCAGCTTGTTTGTCATTCTAAGTAGCATAAAAAATATGTATAATGTAAACATCCATTATGAAAGCATTTTGGAAACAGGACAGACGATACCATACGTGTAAAGACACGGAGAAAAGCTAGTTATACTATTGACAATAATGTAATTTAATTAAAAAAAGAAGAAAGAAATATCTAATATGTTATTAATATTTACGTTGTATTTTTAATTTTTACCCCCCGGAAGATATTTTTCATAAGCTATGTAATTTTTGTCTAAATAGTAAGGTAAAGAGATCAGCAAAAATATATAAAATAGTGAAAAAGTATAATTATTTAGGTTCCTCGATATTTGTTAAAATAGATTGCACATTCCGTATTTACTGGGCGTTTTCTTTAAATAGACAAAATAGAATGGTAATCCTACCTACGCTATTAGTTTACGCTGACGAGGTACTAGAGAGGGATATATTAGGGAATGAAGTCACGTCCTTTGGCTAGCGGGATGTACATACTCGTGTCTTGGTTAATTTTTGGACCTTATGTGTAGACAGAGAACATCAATTAATGATAGTATCTGCTCTTCAAAAATAGTCTGTCATTTTCAATCTAGTGCGAATGAATTTTTGGCATAGACACTTAGATAATTAGCCAGTGTATGCGTGATTAGGGATATTAAATTGTTATTACTAGTAACAATGAAAATTGGCGCGCTTTTGTTAAAAAAAAATGAATTACGCATCTGAGCGATTTGGTTGAAAGTTTTTATGTTGTTTTATGATTCAATATATTCTAAATATGTATAATTTAAACCTACTTATTATACATATAATAGCTTTTTTTTTAATTTCACAACAACAAAGCTCTTTGTGTGCGTTCGTTCAAGTCAGCAGAAAATATACAAAGCGCATACTTCAAACCAAAGTGGTTCCTCTACAAGCCGTTTGCCCGCTCACGGAAATTATTCAACTTCCGTTGTTTTTAACAAGATTTTTTTATATTTCTTAAATATTGCTCAAGATGGCCGCCGTTACATTTTTTCTTCATAGTTAGATACTTCATAGAAGATATAGTTAGATTTAACTGAATTCTTCAGTTCAAAAATTTCTATTCATTTCATTATTTATTTATTTTTACACTAAATATTATTTTAAATTTATGGTTATTTCATATTATTTTACTATGAATATTAAATTAATATTAACAAATATGCATAGCAAAAACCACAGAGATTTATCTAGAATATCATACATTCTGCTTACTACAATACATATACGTATATGATGTCCATATATACAGCGTAATGTACATAACATTGCGTATACAACCAAACAAATTCATATATATTATTAATTAACTTCACATGGTAGATGATCTCGACTCGTAATTCATAATCATTAGGAGAGGTTTTAACCAATTATATTACCAATATTTGTGGTGTCCTTCTGGTATGGTAAGTAGGTGTAGGAAATAATAAACAATGTCACAATGCAACTTACACGACCACCCGTCCGGACCGCGCCCAGAGAAGTGGTCTGGAGCGGGAGGCTTGCAGTCAATGAGTACATCACATATCTCGATTTTGATTATTCTTTTTCAATTTAAAAGGTACTTATCCCCGTATTGGTACATGCAAGTAAGGCATTTTTTATTGTGAATCATAAATAAGTAGATGACTTAAGTAACGGAACGTGATGGCTGAATAGAGCAGTAAGTAGTCTCAATATATGTTAGCGATCTGGCTAGACTTCGCTGGATATATATATATATATATATATATATATATATATATATATATATATATATATATATATATATATATATATGTTACTCGTTTATAATGTAGCCTTGTTTCTATAGTTTGAAATTTTTTTAAAATCAGTTGACTAGTATTTGAGCTAATCCATTATGGATTTTAGAAAAATAAAATATACCTACCGCTTCTACTCGTAGTTCGCGAAGCGTATCAGGACAAAAAATATACTAGGTTTTATGTTGAACATTTTGGAATACAACATTGAAAACGCATCCAATTTGGGGCAATAGTTTTTGCATGACGCCGGAACAAACAAACACGTAGAGAGTTGAAGTTTCTAAAAATCATTGTTACGACTTCTATTGCTTTTACTTGAGTATCTCATAACAATTTTTCTAAAATATCATATAATACTACGAACAGTAAAATGATCGAAGGTTTTTTCTTTGATCCTGCCAACTCTATTAAGCACATAATGTACCACAAATGTGACGAAAAGGCCAGACCAAGTAAATAAGATTAAATTACTATTTAAGAAAATCATTTACGAAATCAATATAGTATAACAGTAAAGGCGTATATGCATAGATGTAGGTATATATTTATGTATATGTGTATTTATACAAGTAAAAATAATGTAATTAATTTAATTTTGTCTGTTTAACAATTGTCACAATATTGTATACCGCTCTACTCGCTGACATTGATGCACTTCTGCTTTGGGTTTGCTGGAAGCAAACTCTATTAGAGTTAAGCTCGCCTTTGTAAATTTGATTACTTCTGTCATATTCTTATAACTGGTATGTACAATAAAGAAATAAATAAATAAAGACTAATGTCTATATAAGTTTATATATGTATGTTTATATATATGTATGTATTACTTATTTATATAAGTCATCATCATTTCAGCCATTATCCGTCCACTGCTGGACATAAGCCTCTCCCATAGACTGCCATAAAGATATATAAGTATTAATTTATATAAGTATAGTATATTATAAGTATATTATTAATTATATTGCGTTTAATTTTACCATTAGCCCATTTTAAGTCTTATTATTTTCACACTTTTAATTATTCCTCTCCATTTTAAGGTTACCTGGACAAGACTGTTAGTTAGCGATAAGACCGCTTATTGTTGGCTCTTTATCTTGCTTTTATGTGATTAAGTTTATGTTGTTAATTATTTATTTTTTTGTGTACATATTGCTATACTTTATAATCTATATAATTTTTTGAAGGGATCAATAAAGAGTTTTCAATCATTAATTCATTCATAAGAATAGTAAGATTCTGTGGTTATATTTTTTTTTTTTGGGAAAACTTACAATTGAATTACAGTCAATACATAATCAAATTTATATCTATGTTAAGCCATGGATCGTTTTCACATTTGCGTAATGACACAATTCATCGGTTTTTATACATGCAAAATACATACATACACACACATACATATATATATATATATATATATATATATATATATATATATTTACACACACACACACACACACATATTTGTACATATTTGTAAAGAATGTATGTATACATCTAATATATCAGACACTGTGTTGGACGGTTTAAATTTATCATAATTTGTATTGTTGCTTCACTGCGTAAATGGAAAAAGATAAAATTCAAATAGAACTCCGCCGGTGTCGATTATAAAACAACAAATAATGGTAATTCAAGTACTTTGTGACGTTATACATTCCATTCCAATTATTATGCAAAGTGTATGAATATGAATGAGTATGGTGCGAGAAAATTTAAATTTGATACCAATAAATAAAAATAATACCAGTACCAATATATATATATATATATATATATATATATATATATATATATATATATATATATATATATATATATATATATATATATATATATATATATATAATATAGTATATTAATTACTTTAAGTAAATATTATTTTCACTAGATTTTACTCGTGGCTTCGTCCCATTCGGATGAAGTATGTTACACTGAGATGTGTTCATTAAGCGGGATAAATGTAACGTATATTCTTTTCATCCCTTATAATACGTGTATGCCAATTTTTTATAGTAATTGGTTAAGCCGTTAAGAGATAACAAACAAACAAATTCATTTTCACACTTATAATATTAGTAAGTAAACAAAAATTATTAATGTGGTCTCGGCTATGAAATGAATGAAACGAAATGGCCAGAAAAATACACCTCTTCCTTTCTCTAGGTGGCGACTAAGGGAACCTAATAGTATAGGGATGGACAGCAGCGTTCCTCTTAAAACATCGTAAAAAGCATAAATGTGGTTGCCAACCAGCCTGCCAAGCGTGGCAACTATTGGCAAAATCCTCATTATGGGCAAAATCCCCATTATGGGGGAGCCCAATGTTCAGCAGTGGACAGTTAACGGCTGATATGTGATGATAATGAAATATTAATATAATCATATTAGAAATCGTAATTATCTCAGAACGCTACACGTAATACACGTTAATTAATTAACGGCGAGTTTATATTGCAAGAATTCGTAAATTACACACGCTTTATCTAATATTGTATGGCTTTGTAAATTATGGAATTAATATAAAGTCGAAATAATGCACGGAAGTAATTCAAATTATGTGAATTTAATTAAACTGAAAATATAGCAAGGTAAGAATTTACAATGTGGGTTTACCCTAATAATTTAATTAAGAATATTAATGTATCTAATATTTATAATAAAATTTCTATAGATATTATAATAAAAAAATATTGAAACAGTTTATAAAAAGTTGAAAAAAGAACTCACCGCTCAGTTGAAAACTTTCAAAAAATAAATCAGATGAATTCGAAATTTAAAAACTATTTCACACACAACTTTATTTTTTATTTTAACGGCCAGTTATTCAATGTTTTTTATTGAATTAAGACACTTAGTTTTTAATACCTTACTTTGTCACGTAACACGAAAATTGATCTATCGAAACACACGTACTTCGAGCGCGAAATCCTTAGTTCGACTGAAGCGAGGCTGTCTCCGTCTCCTGGAATATTGTGAAGCTTTTAACAACATCCATAGGTGCCTACTTAGACTTTATTTTTAGATTTCGAGTTAATTTTAACAAACGGATGATGGCTTATTATTAAAGGAACAGATCTTGTGAAAAGAATATATATGTACTTAGTTTTAATTGAACCACTCATTTTAAGATACACGGACTATTTTAAAATTTAGAATCTTAATAAGTTCCAAAATTTGAAATGGTTTTTAAAATAGTTTTGTAAATAATTTCAGAATATGGAAATATAAAACATTATCATTATTTATATATTATTGATTAGATACATAGGTATTAATAATTTATCTTTTACGTAAAGTATGATAATTTACTTGTGTTTTTTTAATGGGTGATAATGAAATGGCAGCCCCCACCTGCGATAACAGTATACGCTTGCTGGATACCAGTGAGAGATGATTTATGAGGATTAAAAGATAGGTCGGTTAACCCATCGTGATGAATTCACCTGGAATTCATGTTTTGGGCCGGGAGGTCGACCTGATAAGGTTTATTGCTAGCAACGTGGAAGCTAGACCCCATTACAAACAATGTAACAAAAATAAAGTCGAGGAAAGTACTTTATCTATGTTATCCGATATTTTGATTTGTTGTTTTTTAAGGGGTGAAAATGTAATAGTAATCCTGCCTGCATTATTGGAACACTAGTGAGTATAGGATAGGGATGATAGGTAAGGATAAAGTAGGCAATTCAACAATTTATTCAGGGGAATTGCTTGGAGGTTTTTTTTGATACAACTTACAACGGTAAACAAGCTGACGGCCCACCTGATGGAAAGTGGTAACCGTCGCCTATAGACATGAGCAGTACCATGGGCATAATAAAGTATACTGTTTCGCCCATGATACCCCATGCGTTGCCATTCCTGAGGACTCAGGTGTTATTCCTCTGTACCCTGTAAATTCACGCCATATATGTAAATTCACACCCTTCAAACCGAAATACAGCCATGCAAACACAACTGCTTTACGGTTTTGCTTTTTTCGATCTGATAAGGTATATTGCTAGCAATGAGGAAGTTAGACATAATTACTAACAACCCCTTTCCGCCCATTTGACCGGTTTTTTTTTTTTAATGAAAGTAACTTCATCTGCGCTATCGGTATACGCTGGCGGGGCACCAGTGAGAGATGATAGATGAGAATGAAAGCAGGTCAGTTAGCCCATCATAACTAATTCCACTAGAATTAATCATGACGGTTTCCAGGGGGAACTACGTGGAGGTCGATCTGATAGGGTATACCGCTAGTAATAAGGAAGTTAGACATACTTTTTCTCTCCCTATTTTAACCTGGTTATACTGGCCATGATTATGAATAACACTGCGAAATTCTAAAGTAATAAATAATTTGTAAAAATTCAGCTCTAAGTGTGGATAAAAGTTTGAGTACTTTAAGTGAATATTAAGCTCCAGACAGTACGATTTAAAACTTGCTAAGTGAGGATTAAAATGTCTTTTCACTGGGTTACAGTTTAACATATTTATTGGAAAATTCTACAACTACCAATTACAAATTTGCCGAAATATTATAGTTTAATTTATTTACTTATTACTTTACTTATAAGTTATATTATATTTATAAACATTTAATTAATTTTATATTTGTATTTATATATTTAAAAATGAAACGTTTACAATGGAATATATTTAATTTTTTTATATATTTACAGAAAAACAGGTATGTAGTAAATATAGGTAATATAGATACCGATCCGATATCTATATATCGGGTTCTGCATTGATGGTGGAAAAAACTCATCAACTATTTCGATATCGCCCATATCGGTCGGATATCCTATTTTTGAATATGTTGTAAGTTGCTGTTATCCAATATTATTTTTCAAATAACAGACTTTTAATATAATCGTTATTGGACCAGTATATAGATATTGTACAAAAGTCGATTGCTTGGGTACCTCTGTCCCATTCGTGTTTCTACCGTGAAGCAGTTGTGATTGCATGGCTGTGTTTCGATTTGAAGGGTGGGATATGGCGTGAATTTACAGGGTACAGAGGAATAACAAACACCTGAGTCCTCAGGAATGGCAACGCATGGGGGGTATCATGGGCGAAATAGTATGTGTGTGTACTGTTATGTCCATTGTACTGCTCATGTCTATAGGCGACGGTTAGCACTTTCCATCAGGTGGGCCGTCAGCTTGTTTGCCATTCTAAGTCGTATAAAAAAAATTATATTACTATATATTATTAATATATATGTAGGTACTATTTAACTTATATTTTTTTAATATATATTTTTTATTCACGATCGTTCGCGTTCAGTCCCGATCGTGAATTTAAAATATATGTCAAATACATTATTGGGACTTAACGCCACGCAATTTGCAGATAAATAATACCTACTCATACATATTTGATTTTTATTGCTGACGTTTTATCGTGGATTCCACCACGTCGTGTTTAAATCCCGATAGTGTATTTAAAATATGTTTTAAAATATGAAAGTTTAAAATTTAAACATTTAATCATGTAAAATCGTTTAATCATGAAGAAGATAGTTTTTTTATGCAATTAAGAATGGCAAACAAGCTGACGGCCCACCTGATGGAAAGTGGTAACCGTCGCCTATTGACATGAACAGTACCATGGACATAATAGAGTATACTCTTTCGTTGATACTCGGTGATTGCATATTCCTTTATATTTATGTATTATGTGTATTATGTATATATTATTTATTTACAGGTTATTAATTTATATTGTTGTTTTATTTATTTATTAGTTTTTTTTATCTATCCCAATAATGAAGTACCGCATTCGTGATTCACTGTTCATCCCAAAGGTTGGCTGGTAGAGAATGCTACTAGTATTAAGTTCACCTTTTGTACCATATTTTATTTTGTTCAATAAAGTTATTTAAATAAATAAATAAATTACAAAAGAAGTTAACAAAATTAGTTTTAAATTAGATAATGTATACAAAAACAAATGCTAACGAATTGAGAATCTTTCAACCGACTTCAACAACGAAAGAGGTCCCCGATTCAGTTGAGTTCCACACTAGCAGCCCGTCCCGGCGTCGCACAGGTGGACATTTTTAACATTACCCTTCACTGCTCTGCTCCTATTGATCGTAGCGTGATAAAAAGTATACTATAACCTGAAGCCTATGAACGCCTAGGGTTGTCACGTGCGCGTTTCCGACTCTTGTGAGACTTGACGTGTCTTCTTTGTCAATTTTAATGTGTAGTCACTCATTAAAATATTATCTGTACACTTTTATGACTAAAGATGATTGAAATAAACTTTTCTCATAAAATACACTTTAATGAAACGCTATTACAGAGAGTCATAACTAATTATAATTAAGCTAATGTCAAATTGACAATGCTACCAACATTAAAACATTACACACAGAATAAACTATTCTATTAACCTACAGTTGATTGCAAAAAGGAGCATTATTATTAATGTTTTTTTTTTGTATTAAAGAATGTTGCAATAATTAATTTTGTCTTGATCAAATTTCGGTTTTATTGTGGAGAAAATATTGTAACTGAGTCACAGCTCAACTGAGATAGAAAGAGTAAGACAAATTCATTGGATCGGTTTAGATTAATCGGTTTAATCAATGTTAGATTGGTGATTTTTCCTGGTAGGACTCCGTGACTGGGGATCAATAAAAATGATGTACGTTTTTATAAAATGCATTTTCAGAGATGTACAGAGTAAGAAGTGTCAAAAAAGACATATCAAATGGAATATAAAAATTAAATAATATAAAAATACACATTATAAAAAAAGGCCGATTGGCTAATTTACTAACATACATCTTCTTCTTTTGCCTTGCCTTATCCCGTTACTCGGGAGTTTCTTTTTTAATCGATAAAAATGGAATGGCAACCCCGTCTGCGCTATCGGGATAAGTTGGCGGGGTACCAGTGAAGGATGATAGGTGAGGATGAAGCAGGTCAGTTGGCCCACCGTGATCGATTCGTCAAAAATTAACCACCTATTGCATGAATCTTCTTCCACAAGATTCAACCGTTTCATAAGCGCTGAATATACGAAACGTTACCTTCTTTTTCAGCGTCAGTCGGATAAAACAGCCTCATAAAAGGTCATGTAATCAAGCGGCCGTGACAAACAGTAGCTATATCAACGCATCCATTAAGTCTGACTCGTCGATCAAAACATTATAAACTTTATGACTGAATTAGTTTAATGCCTTTCAAATGTCTGGTAAGTTAATTGAAGTATTTAAGGCATTTAATTAAGTAGTAAAATAATAATATAGGTATAATATATATATATATATATATAGACGGCAAAAGGAACATAATGAATGGGCTACGAGTAGCAGCGTCCCTATGTAAACATTACCAAAGCCTAACTTTAGTTGCCAATCCGCCTGCCAACCGTGGCAACTACGTGCAAAACACTTTTTAATTGGGGGAGGTTTATTTTCATCAGTGGACAGTTAATGGCTGATATTATTATATAATACTACACTACGTTTTCCCGTATGGGGTCGCCACTCAAGAACCTCTCTTCCCCATCGGAAGTTATATAATGAAGAAATGTGAAATGATTCTACATATCTTCCTTATATATACATATATTTATAGAATATTATGTATAAATATTATATTATTAAATTAGTTTATTGAATTTCGAATACCTAAAAAGTTTAACTAATATAACTCACCACTTTTTCGGTACATGGAAACTCAATAAACCAATCTAAACTTTATACGCAATATTTTATTTATCAAATAATGGGAGTCCATATGGGAGTAGCTATAACTATGTAATGACGTCACGTAAAAAGGTAAAAAAGGCAAAATGGCGGAAATGAAACGGAAAATTCAGCAACAGCACAAAATACCATTTTCCAACAAAATCCCGTTGTGTATTTATATGGTGAACGGATTATATTATGTAAAGTACAAAATACATATGGGAACTCAAACGAAAACACATTTGTACCTACTTACTTGTAGACGAAGTTTCACAAATACGTGTCTGACAGTAAATAAGTGCATTTTTAAGGGGCCAGCCACCCCCCCCCCCCCTGACCTTGCCCTAGATAATAATTCTATTTTTTTATAATAGTAATAATAATAGATTTATTTATTTATACTTATATCATTCCATAAAGATGATGTCTGATGGTAAATGGTCACTGTAGCCTATAAACGTCTAGCACTAGGAATGTCAGGTGCGTGTTGCCGACCCTGAAGAAACCGTAATATACCATTTTTAAAAAACCCTATACTTTTTTTTAATGGGTGATAATGTAATGGTAACCCCACCCGCACTATCGGTTTACACCGGCGGGGCACCAGTGAGGGGTGATAGATGAGGATGAAGCAGGTCAGTTAGACCATCGTGACGAATTCAACAAGAATTGTTCACGATGGTTTCCAGGGGGAACCACGTGGAGATCAACCTAATAGGGTATACTGCTAGCAATGGGGCTGTCAAACTCCAATGCTAATAATCCCTTTCCCTAAAAAAAAAGCCATACTGTAGTCTCTATGGTGTATATTAACAATTTTCACCTGTATACATATCATAAAAATGAATTTTTCATGATATTCAAAGAAATATTATCGCGCTTATACCACGAGAAGGAGGGATCGCATTATTCTTCATTTCAGACACGATTGTGTATAAAAACTCAGGTCGTCTATCTTCGACTAATTTGATTTACAAGAATACTTAAGACTTACTTGATAAGAGTCACCATTATTTACATTCTAATACATTATATGCCGTGTGGTCCCGGCATAGAATAGTCGAATGGGCTATCCCTTCCTTTCTTATTTTATTTATTTATTTAGGTTTACCAACAATTGTTTCCACAAAATAATATTTTTATATATACAATTATGGAGCTTAGACCTAAGTGTAAAAAATTTTTATAGGCAAACACAGCATATATTGATACATGTATAAATGCTTAAATGCTTAAATGCATGTTTAAATGCTTAACAACTAACAACTAAAGCCACCATATCCATAAGCAGATCCAGCAGCACGGCTCATTTTATATATTTATTTATAGATATTTCGTACAAAAACAATTGGAGTATCAAAATTAATATCGACCTGGTCAATTCAGCTATTTATAATTTTTATGGGAATCGTAAGAGGTGACTAAAGGAATTAAATGGTCGAAGGATGGGCAGCAGCATCCCTCTTAAAACATCACCAAAGTACAGCTGCGGTAGTTGACTCGCCTGCTAAACGTGGCAACTACTGGCGAAACTTACCAATAGGGGAGGCTTATGTTTAACAGTGACAGTTAAAAATATCTAAATAGGTACAGTCATTCCAATTGTATTTCTGCTGTAAAGCAACTGCGTTTGGATGATCATGTTTGAAAAGTGGGATCATCATTATCATCATATCAGCCGTTAATTATTTTTTATCTGTAAAGAAATGTTTACAGATTGGTCCCATAGGAATTTTATCAAAATCGGGCCAGTAGTTTAGTTCAAAATGTGTAGTTTTGCTAAAATTGAAGTCGTTTTGTTTTTATAGAACAAAAAAATATTTATTTATTAATTTTTATTCTCGTATTCTTGTATATTGCTTCATTTTTGATTTGTCATCTCTTAAGACATTTTGTTCATAATCAGAAATGTTGATAAATTATATTCTCAATTTTTTTTATGCAACTTAGAATGGTAAACAAGCTGACGGCCCACCTGATGGACAGTGGCAACCGTCGCCTATAGACATGAGCAGTAACATGAACATAACAGAGGATACTGTTTAACCCATGATTATATATATACCATAGTATACTGTTTTGACCATGATATCCCCCATGCGTTACTATTCCTGAGGACTCAGGTGTTATTCCTCTATACTCTGTAAATTCACTGCCATATCCCTTCAAACCGAAACACAACCATGGAAACACAATTGCTTTTGGAATTGGTAGAAACACGAATGTGACAGAGGTGCCCAAGCAAACGACTTTTGTACAAAGTCTCCTTGTGGTAAAATTCTCAATCCGTTATCATACATCAATTGATGCTATAAGTTTGTTTATATCGTATCGCATATAATTCTTTGTTATTACATTTTACGTCTGGTTTGTCAAATAAAATTACTGAAATAATACGAACGTACACAATGATATCTCTGTTATTTCTCTCACAAAGCTATTTCAACTTTCTACGTGCGGTAACTAAGTTTTGGGCCTTGCTAACTTAAACTGTGTAGGGTTTACTGTATTAAAACATTAGTTTAACACGGGTTTGCTTTTGTTATTTCTTTATGATAATAATTGCATTTTTAACTAAAAAACATTTTTATGATTCATCCGTCTGTAATTTATCATTATATATCATCTTCTCAGTCATTCTCAGCCATGCTGAACATAGGCCTCCCCTGCCATAGGGAATGGTCCTGAGCCATCTTCCTCTACTGACTTCCTGCAATGTATTTGAGGTCGTCACTCCATCTAGGGGAGGTGGAGGGCGTGTAGGACGACCCTACCTCCCAATAAAGAAGAAAATTACTTGTAGTAATTTAATTGATGATTCTCGAATGTACTATTTTAATTATTATCATAAACTAAATATGTATGTATACATCATAACTCGGCTCCCTGCCGAGGTTTTGCCAAGAGACTACAGCATGGGGTTCTTCAAAAGGGGGTAAAGAGGTTTCTTCGGGGTCAGTAACGCACGTGTAATACCTCTGGTATTGCAGGCGTTCATAGGCTACGGAAACCACTTACCATCAACCACTCATCATCACTTATCATCATCAAAATGTGGAGTATTTCTCTTACCTGTGAGTCGGAGGTCCTGAATACCAGCTCGGTCCTCTTGATGTGGTTTAAAGATAAGCTATGAGAGTAGTCTACGATCCCAAGCTCACAAGCGGTATCGAGCCCGTAATCTATGGTGAAACTGCCTCCCTGTATGTATTGTATTCTACCGCTTGTATAACGGTTAATGTTCTGAGGAATTGTTTGAAATGATGCCCAACCTTTTATAATCGCACTGCTCGCTATCGAAAGGGAATTCATCCTTACACGTTTGAATCTAAATGGTCACGTAGAGTGCAGTATCAAAGGAATTTTCTCCCGCAAACGCTTAGGCTGTGGCATGAGCTCCATATTGAGGTCTTCGCTAGAGACTACAGTATGGGGTTCTTCAAAAAGGTTTATTATATAAGGGCGAGGATAAGGGCAAGAGCTAAAGGTTCTATTAAGGTTTCTTCAGGGTTGGCAACGCGTTCGTTATATCCCTAGTATTGCAGGCGCCCATAGGTTACAATAATCGTTCAGTATCAGACGGATTGTAAACGTGCTCGCCACCTTCTTGATAAAAAAAAAATACGACTGGAATCTTCGAAATTTGTTTCATACTAATCTTTAGAATAGAAATTATGTCCTGATATTAAATAGAAATTTTTAATTTTAGAGATAGGTTAGAGAATAGTACCTCAGAATCGACCCCGATGTAATTTTAAGGAAAATAAAAAGGAAAAGTAAAATGGAACATTTTCTTGATAACGTATTTAATACAAACGTAATAAATTATTAATAGAAGCTATTCATGAAAAGTATATCAAACTTAATTAACAAAAAAAGTAATAATAATAAATAAATATTTCATTCATATCTTCATTTACACTGCATAAAGGGATAATTCAAAAACAAATTACAATTATGTATGTTTCAAATAAATAAAACAATTTTAAAATAAAATTAAGTAACTTAAGATTAAAAGAATTGACTTTAATCTTGATAAAATTGGAACAATTGAGTATTTAAATAATCATACAATTTTAAAAATCAGTGGGATTACAAATTTTTTTTTATTGAAGTCAGTAAATATCAGTATTTTAACTTTTGACTTCTTTAAAGAATGTTAGTAGTATTTTTGAAAATAAAAACCTTACCTTAAAAAGCACAATCGAACTTGGATAACAATTTTGTAACCATTTGCATTAAATTCATCATTCATTTTTCAGCACAATTTGTACATACGTTCAAAAATAATTTTCAGATTTCAACTATGCTCCTTGAGGAAGATATTTCATTTTATGAATACTACGAGTATCACTGAGTCTTGTCATAGTTCACCCATCATTAATAAAATGTACTTGTTAAAATATTGTTTACTGGTTTTAAAAATTTCGATATTATGTATTTTTATTATATAAACAAACAAACAAAATTTATGTTTAATTAAGACAAATTTTCATATAACTATTAACATTAAGGCACAATAGTGTTCTATTCCTTCATCTTATCACTGTAACATTTAGGTAGCAAAAATACTACTTTTCAAGAAAAAAAAATGTTAAATAATTATTATAAATTAAGTATATTCTACAGGCATTTAATATTAAGTACTAAATTCCTAATTCTAATTTCATGCAATAAAAAAATCCTATTAAATTTCAATTTGGCAGTAATTAATAAAATTTATTTTCTACCTATAAATTAAAAAAAAAAAAACATTAATACAAATTAATAATACGAATAATTTACTACCAAATTAAAAATTCAATTATTTGATAAATGGCTAATTCAGTCGTGAACTGTCTATAAATTCAGTTCAATTCAATCAATTATCACCAGTTGTAAGATCTTTAATAAATTTGTTTTTTTTTTTTAACGCTACTTAGAATGGCAAACAAGTTGACCTGATGGAAAATGGTAACCGTCACCTATAGGCATGAGCAGTATTATGGACATTTTTTTTTTATAGAACTTAGAATGGCAAACAAGTTGACGGCCCACCTGATGGAAAGTGGTAACCGTCGCCTATAGACATGAGCAGTACCATGGACATAACAGAGTATACTGTTTCGCCCATGATACCCCCCATGCGTTGCCATTCCTGAGGACTCAGGTGTTATTCCTTTGTACCCAGTAAATTCACGCCATATCCCACCCTTCAAACCGAAACACAGCCATGCAAACACAACTGCTTCACGGTTGAAACACGAATGAGACAGAGGTACCCAAGCAATCGACTTTTGTACAAAGTCTCCCTCTGGTAATAATAGAGTATACTGTTTCGTCTATGATATTCCCCATGCGTTACTATTCTTGAGGACTCAGGTGTTATTGTATAATATTTATAATTTCGGCAATGTTTAATATTTTGAAAACGTTTAAAATTTTTAATATTATTCAATATATCCAATATTTTGGATTATTCATTCTACTTTGGTCTTTTTGATTTCTAATAACTTCAAAATGTTCAGACACCAGAACATGGCCGACACTACGTAAAAAATTTGTAACGCGGTGCCGAGACCAGGGTTAGTAGCAGCTACACTCCTAGCGAGGAATGCAAAAGCTGAACACCGAAGTACTTCCAGAAGAGAGGCATTCTTCGAGTTGTCGAAAAGCATGCCGATGATGGTTAAAGACGCGATGATGTAGAAAACGAAGATCAACACTGATATCGGCGTCATGCCCTGTAAATAAAAATATCGTAATAAATATATATTTTTTAATATAGAGATTAATATATAAACATGGCATGTTGTTCGCATGTTCGTTCATGACATATGAAACCGTGTTTCATTTGTTCCAATTCGAGAGATTGAATAGTATTTATTCCGATAGCAACTTTTATATTAAAATCTTTATTTTACGGTAAGAATAAAAATGCTAAGAACAAATAAAATCACAATATTCATTTAATTAATTATCAACGAATATAGAATTTGGCTATCCCTTGCTTTCCCGTGGGTGTCGTAAGAGACGAAAGGCAGGGCAAGAGATGAACGGTAGCGTCCCTCTTAAAACATCTCTTAAGCCTAATTGCGGTTGCCAATTTGCCTGCCAAGCGTAGCAACTACTGGCAAAATCTCCCAAAGAGAAGGCTTGTGTTCAGCAGTTAATATTTAAAGGCTGATATGATGATGACTATGATGATGAATATAGAATTTGTACGCAGATATGTAAAAATATGTAAATTTTATGATAGTAAAAAATTACTTGTTGCCCACGATGGGGGCTTGAACTATCCAAGATCTGCTGACGATACGCCTAACAACTGATGTGACACAAAACTGCCAAGAATCGTTCAGTAGTGCATAATACTATGATCAAAGTCTCTTTTTCGATGCAAAATGATTTGTTACACTAAGGGGAATACTTTGAAACTAGTTTCACTAAGTTTTTCCAATAAGTGGAAACAAAATGATGAACTTGAGTGCGATCATTTGTCAAAATCAAACCCCTATGTCGCTGTGAAACTGTCAGTGCTAACTAAAGGGATTGATAGATTGTGTATATGGATCTTATTAAATATATATCATGTTTTGTTTGTTCAAAGCACATAGGCGGCTTTACCCCTTGGAGAGATTTATTTCAGTCTGAAATATTTTGTATATTTCTTTACGTACGTATTGACGTCTATAAATTCTTCTTTTTCTATAAATAAGTGTGAAAAGGTAAACAGTTTGTAGTTAATTTAGAAACTTAGTTTATAGCGTGACAGGATTAATGATAATATCTAAATAACTTATATATTAAAGTTATTTAAATATATCATATATATGATAAAGGTACTTATAATTATTTTCCTTAATGTTTTACGCTGTTAACTTTGTTAATTATACAATACTATCATACCAACTTGTACAACAATTAGTCCATTACCCTAAGGTTATGTTGAAAAGACTGTTCTCAGCAATAAGACCGCCTTACTGTACTTATACAATTGTATCGTTGTGTTCGTAAATTGTCTTGCTTATTTCGTATAGTGTATAATGCAAATAATCTTTATAGTTATATATAATATGAATACGCGTGTCGTGGCGACCTTTAATTAAGACAGCATTTTATAATGAAGACATATTATCATGTATTTTAAGTTGATATAAATGTATGTTTTGTTAGTTGTTCTTAAATAAATAAATAAATAACTAAATAAACGTCTTGAGATATCTTGAGGATGAAAATAATTAATAAATTATATATGCGAGTATTTAAACAGCGTCTTCTAAGTATAAGTTACAAATGAATTAGTCGATAGAATCGTTATCGCTATTGACTTCACGGAATAGAATGAGATAACGATATCTGGTGTCTTGCTTTATCTCAGGCGATTGCTAACTGCAATGTATATATATACTCGATATATTTGTTTTGCAATTGTTTAAGAATGGCTGAAGTTTTTCTTCGGTCTCTATGCCTATATGGAGTAAACTTACCATATATTTTGAAGACAGCTCGAAAAAACCATACAGCACAACAGCGTAGTGTAACACTAAATAAATATTACACCAGGCTGGCAAATGTACGTCGTACTTCTCACGTGTTTGGACCTGAAAAGAGACGAATACTGTCATTCATAAATAAGAAATAAGCTTATTTAACTCCTCGTGAGATTCCTTATACAGTACATATAACGGAGTACCAACAAATCGTACATTTTTTTTTATAACGAATGGCAAACAAGTGACAGCAATGGAAAATGGTAACAAATCGCCCAGTGACTATTCATGTCTGTTCAGATCTCGATCTAATTAATAACACGTAAGTTACACTGGTAGTTCACCATCATTATTTCAGTCATTATTCGTCCACTGCTGGACATAGGTCTCCCCCATTGACTGCCATAAAGAACGGTCCTGAGCCACCTGCAGCCACTGACTCTCTGCAATGTATTTGAGGGTGTCAATCCATCTAGTGGGGGTCGTCCTACATTGAGTTGTCTTGTACGGGGTCGTCATTTAAGAACCTTTCTTAACCAATGGGTTGTCGGTTCTTCGAGTTATGCGACCAGCCCATTGCCATTTCAGCTTGCTTATCCTTCGGGCTATGTCGGTTACTTTTGTTCTTTTGCAGATATTCTCGTATAGCGGTAGTTATTATACTAAAATATATATCACGCGACGATTCTGTTAACCAAAAATTTATCCTTATGGCAAAATATTATTTCTGTCGGGTAGCAAATGTCAAAATTATTATAACAAGTAGGCTTAAGACCCCTTTTTAGTTGTGACATTCGTTGCCACTGAAGGCTACCCTCGTCTTATGTATAAAGGGTATGCTACATATTATGAGTGAAATTGTATGAAATTGTATTTGCTATTAGAATCTGCCCTATATATATATATATAAATTAAGTTATTTATTTAATAATTAAAGATTGTGTACTACAAAAAAAACTTTGATTGTAATAAAACCAGTTATTTTGATATAAAAGTTAAATATCAAATTCGATTATGATAAATTTTTTGAGAATCCAATCTGTAGGTCCTTTCAGATAAAAAAAAATATTTTTTTCTAATCGGTTCAGAACTGACGGAGTTATGAGGTAATAAACGCATCGAAAACCATGTTCTTTTCGAAGTCGATTGATAAACAATAAATATTCATTAGTTCAAATAACAATTTCACATGAGAATAATTTCTTTTTTCAATTACTTTTTAAGACGTAATTTTTGAGTAGTCGGATTTTGGTTTTTAACTTAATTTTCATTTATTTTTATTCGAGTAAAATCTGCTGAGCAAATATGAATGTAATTTTAGTATATGAATAGGTCATATTTTAATACACAGAAAACTTTATATACCCACTTAATCACTCGTGCGAAGACACGAGGTACGGCTAGTATAAAATCCATTAGCACAAAGAGTATCAATTATTTCAATTTATACAAATGAAAATACATTTGTCTCTAGGGAAAATATTATAAAGATTGTTATCCTAGCTCACCTTTTAGAAGACACTGAAAGGGTCAGCTTAGTACGTCACCATTTACTTTCCAAGAACTGTTTTCACGAAAACAAAGTGATATCATTAATAAAAAGAGACCCTTTCATCACATTTGTGATACATTAAGCGCTTAGTAGAGATGGCAGGGTCGAGGAAAAAACCTTTGATCGTCTTACGAGTACTAATATAATGAAATTGTAACTACATGATGTCTGTGCGTGAGAGATATTTTAGAAAAATGGATTTGAGGGATTTTAAGACAATAGATCACTGTGTGGTCCCGAATGGGTCACCCTTTTTTGTCACGTGGGTGTCTTTTTTAAGGGTAAAAATGGTATGGTAACGGTAACTCCGCCTGCGCTAATGGGATACGCTGGCATGCTCATCAATCACCCTTCACTGGTGCTCCGCCACCGTATCCCGTTAGCGCAGACGGGGTTACCATACTATTTTCACCCATAAAAAAAACGTATGTATAGTGGGGGAAAGGGATTGTTAGTAATGGAGTCTAATTAACCCGTTGCCAGCTATATACCCTATTAGGTCGACCTTCACATGGTTTCCCCTGGAAACCATCATGGTTAATTCTAGATGAAGTCGTCATGATGGGCTAACTGATCTGCTTTCATCGTCACCTATCATCGCTCACTGTTGCCCCGCCAGCGTATACCGATAGTGCAGGCAAGGTTACCATTCCATTATCACCCATTAAAAATACACATATATATATATATATATATATATATATATATATATATATATATATATATATATATATATATATATATATATATATATATATATATATATATATATATATATATATATAAGTACTACTCGTATATAGACAACTTTTGTACAAAGTCTTCCTCTAGTAAATTTAGAATGAAAAGGCGTACCAGCCCAAAGTAAATCAACGGAATATTGAATTCAAGAATAGATTAGAAAGTGAGTTTTCAACAAATTTTCCTTGGGTTTATTTAATTTTCAAACGGAAACAAATAGACCGAGATTCTCATTTTGGAAGCACTTTGGAAGCTGTAAATCCGAAATTAATTGTAAATTTAAATCATTAAGATATCGTCTATGGTTTATTTAACTTTTAAGCTTTATAATTAGCAACGTTTGTTTATTTGATTTAGGTCAAATCTTGCCAGTTAAATTAGAAGCAGTAATAAAATTCGCTGTAGTTTTATATACACCTTTTAGCTTTGGTAACAATGCAGTGTGTTAATACTCAAAAGTGGGGGGAAAGGGATTGTTAGTAATGGGGTCTAATAAACCACTTACAACGTACCCTATCAGGTCGATCTCTACGTGGTTTCCACTGAAAACCAATAAAAGCAAAAATAATATTGTTTTTAGAAATTTTGTCTGTTTGTTTGTTTGTCTATATGTTTGTCCTGGCATCACACAAAAACTATTGCAGTCCTTGTCGGTAAAAGTCGACACTGTCGCTCCCCTTTCGCGGGCTTGGAATGCCATTTGCACTCGTTCTTACAAGCGCTCAGTGAAGCTGTAAAGGTCATCTGCGGCCAACAGTACCTAAGTATAGATCGAAAAAAAAAACAAAATCTACTACACCAAGTTGAAAAAAAGTTTTCACTGTTATATTCCTAAGGTCTAACTTTAAAAGTGGCGTACGTTTTATTTGGATGTGCCATCTAGAATGGGTCATGTCTTTGGTTTTCCTACTTCTGAAGCAATGCGTACGAAATCGAGGACAAAAAGCTAGTTATTAAATGAATATTATAAAGTTATTTGGGTCACGGTATCCTTACAAGCAAATTATAAGGTCTACCTTATGAAATTTCATTATCCACTTAACTTGCCTTCTCTTCTAAATTAATTCCTTCGTTTATTACTTTTAATTATATTTTAAAGAGTCTATGTAAAATTTGGTATTACGATACGTTTTGTGGTAATTTTACTCAATTATTTCCTTGATAGTTATTTTACTATATTACTTATATAATTTACTTACATAATTTAATTTTTACCAGAGGGAGACTTTGTACAAAAGTTGTTTGCTTGGCCACGTCTATCCCATTCGTGTTTCTACCATGAAGCAGTTGTGTTTGCATGACTGTATTTCGGTTTGAAGGGTGGGATATGATAGTGAATTTACAGAGTACAGAGGAATAAAACCTGAGTCCTCAGGAATGACAATGCATGGGGGGTATCATTGGCGAAACAGCCTCTGTTATGTCCATGGTACTGCTCATGTCTAGACCTGTTTACCATTCTAAGTTGCATAAAAAAATACTATTAATTTATTATCATCAGTCGTTAACTGTCCAACGTCGAACATAGGTCTTTCATTTAAGGGAAGGTTTACTAGTTGCCACGTGTCGCAGGCGGGCCGTCAAAATTACTTGGGCATTTCTTATAGTGAAATTATTTATACATATATTTATATGCTTTTGTACATTCACTTATAGATATTCCCATGTGATCCCGATATAGAAATAGTCATCCCCTTTTTTTCCCGTGGGTTTCGTAAGAGACGACTAAGGGAGGGTAAGAGATGGGCAGCAGCGTCCCTCTTAAAACATCTCCAAAGTCTAACTGCGGTTGTGAATCCGCCTGCCAAGTGTGGCAACTACTGGCAAGATCTCATAAGGGGAAGGCTTATGTTCAGCAGTGTACAGTTAAATGTTGATATGATGATGCTGATGGATAGATATTTGGTTACGGCAAAAATATACACAGACGGGCTTATCCCTTAAAGGGATTTCTTCAAGTCAACCTTAAGAACCCGATGAGAGAAGATGCCTATTATGTTATGTTTGTTTATTGATTTTTGAAGCTGACTGTACCACTGAAATTAATTTAGTACTCCTAATATCATTCAAGATATATAATATTAATATAATTATTCATTTAACTAGAAAAACATTACAGGCTTTATTCTATTAGCTCCAGAGTCCTGAGAGTTAATTAATGTTAGCGGCTATCAGCAATTACTTTGCATCTTGCCAGAGGGAGACTTTGTACAAAAGTCGTTTGCCTGAGCACTTCTGTCCCGTTCGTGTTTCTACTGTGAAACAGTTGTTTGCATTACTGTGTTTCAGTTTGAAGGGTGGGATATGGCAGTGAATTAACACGGTACAGAGGAATAACACCTGAGTCCTCAGGAATGGCAACGCATGGGGGGTATCATGGACGAAACAGTATACTCTGTTATGTCCATAGTACTCATGTTTATATACTTGACGCTTACCACCTATCAGATGGGCTGTCAGCTCGTTTACCGTTCTAAGTTGCATAAAAAAAATCTCTTTGTAATTATAATTGATAAAGGCCGACCTAGTGTGACGAGTGAGGAATATTTCCTTTTATAATTTATTACGTATTAAACTCACTTTTCTGAGTATACTCAGAGTAGATTTTATGATAGTAAATTTTAGACCTAAACTTACTAAATATAAATATAATATTTAGAATAGCAAAAATTAGCTTATCAAGCGATTTCAAAAAGAAGGAGGTTTTCAAATATACCCTATCAGGTCGACCTCCTAGCGGTTCTTCCTGGAAACCATCGTGTTGAATTTCAGGTGTATTCATAACGATGGGCTAACTGACCTGCCTGTCACCCCTCACTGGTGCCCAGCCAGCGTATATACCGTTAGCGCAAGCGGGGTTACCATTCCATTATCATCCATTAATAAAAAAAAAACTTCATTAACTCCATCAGTTGTAAACCGATTTGGAAAATCTATTTTTTATCTGAAAGGATATATTTATCAGATTGGCCTCATACAAATTTTATCAAATCAATTTAGTAGTTTAGTTTTTAAATCAAATTAACTGGATTTGCCACGATTGAAGTCAGTTTCGTTTTCTAGAAAATAGTTTAATTAATTCTATAATATTACCAAGTTAATGTAACTTACATGGGACAGATAAAAGAAACACTAGGTGTCATGTCGTATGGGGAGGTCAAGGATATGGCCTGTGATAGAGCTAGCTGGAAGAAGATGCATGAATTAGTTGCACCGACAAGAGGAAACTCTTAAATGAAAAAGAGAATGTACTTACGTCTATTTTGTCCTCGTCCCGTCCAAGCCTCGGTGACCCTGGTTGCCAGCTCGGGCCCCAGAATATCGCCCTGAATTTGTCCCCGGCCGTCTTCAAGCTCCGGAATCGTTCGATCACGTACGCAGTGTAGAAAGACTGGAATAAAAGAGATTTTATTTTATTTTTGGACTTATTAACATTTAGGTAAATCGCTATCAAATAGACGTTAAAGTATTTTAGGAATAATAACAAAAAATGCTGTTATAATGTTGAAGAAGAGTTTTTAATTATTTTTTTTATACGACTTAGAATGGCAAACAATCTGACGGCCCATCTGATGGAAAGTGGTAACCGTCGCCCGCCTATAGACATGAGCAGTACCATATACATAACAGAGTATACTGTTTCGTTCATGATACCCCGCCATGTGTTGCCATTCCTGAGGACTCAGGTGTTATTCCTCTGTACCCAGTAAATTCACGCCATATCCCACCCTTCAAACCGAAACACAGCCATGCAAACACAACTGCTTCACGGTTGAAACACAAATGTAATAAACATTATAAATAATTTGTAATTTTCAATAGTAGTTAGATATGGGGGAAGGGGTTGTTAGTAATGGGGTCTAATGAACCCATTGCTAGCAATACACTATCAGGTCGACCTCTACGTGGTTCCCCTTGGAAACCATCGTGAACAATTCTTGTTGAATTCGTCACAATGGGCTAACTGACCTGCTTCATTCTCACCTATCATCCTTCACTGGTGCCCCGCCGGTGTATACCGATAGCGAGAGCGGGGTTACCATTCCATTATCACCCATTAAAAAAAAATAGTAGTTAGATATTTGAATTTTTTTTTGACATATCTTAAACATCCTTACTAATTCAAAAGTTTGTGAGGATGGATAGCTGTTTGTTATTCTTTCACGCAAAACCTACTAAACCGATTTGAAAGAAACTTGGTACATAGATAGGTTATATCTTAATTCAGCACATAGGATGCTATATGTGTTGAAGCTTGACATTTCATAGGAAATAGCTAGTATTATTAATGTCAAAGTGACTAAGTCAGTTTGCTTATTCGTTACCTATTGGGTTTTTAACGGTTTAACAAATAAATCACTATGAAATTTGGTACTCAGTTACTATGAGGGATGGAAACGGACATAGGTTACTGTTTTATCTCGATCAATAAATATATCTCGGTCACGCAGACGAAGTAGCGAGTAAAAGCTATGTATGTAATATAAGTCAGTGGGCGCAGGTAGTTCAGAACTGTTGTTTATGATAAAATTTGTTTAATAATAAACAGACTAACTAATGATGGTAAATGTATATAATACTATTTTTTTTTGATGGATGAAAATGGTATGGTAACCCCGCCTGCGCTAACGGGATACGCTGGCGGAGCACCAGTGAAGGGTGATAGATGAGAATGAAAACATGCCAGTTAACCCATCATGATGAATTCATCAGGAATTAACCATGATAGTTTCCAGGGGGAACCGCAAGGAGGTCGACCTGGTTGGGTATATTGCTAGCAATAAAATTCTCAGTCTCCATTACTAACAATCCAATATATAATACTATTATTGTTTTATATTTAACTGTCTATTGCTGAACATAGGCCTTCTCTTGTTTTAAGAAGGTCGCTGCTGTCCAACCCTCATCCATTATGTTCCCTTAGTCGCTCTTACGACATCCATAGGAAAGAAAGAGATGGCCTATTCTATGCTGGGACTACACGGCAATATGATATGTATTATAAAATTACTCAATTCATACGTTTATAGAAATCTCAAAGGAATCCACGTATGAATCGATGAAGAAAATTCCAGATAGCAACGTAATATATTGTCATATTAGAAGATTGAAAATAACATACACTGCGGCTGCGGTATTCCATAAATAATGTAGAGAAAACACAAAGCTTTGAAGTCAAACTTTATTTGGAAACCGTCTCAAAGTGAATGTGTTTTCTATTTGAATATGTTTCGTATTGAATAGAATTTCTTGTTGACTGAAGTTTCCGCAGTTGAATTGCAGTGCAGTTATATGTATTCGTTTAATAAAAAAAAAAAATAAAAAATAAACTGGTCAAGAGCGAGACGGATACAAATAATTTGACAAATGTTTTCGTATCTTTATTGCCTATTGAGTAGTGATAAATAATAAAAAAAAAAAAAACTAAGTAAAATATAAAATTGCAGATTCGAGGCAACAGATATATATCAGATATAATGATGATATACTTACAGATTGGTAAGATATGGTGTGATTAGAGAGAAGTGTGGACTGAAAGACAATGTAGTAACAAAAATCTAAAAAGGAATGTTGCGTTGGTTTGGCCATTTGGAGAGGATGGATGAAAGAAGAATCACGAAAGAGATTTATCGAGCAAGAATGAATGGATATGTCGGTAGGGGCCGCCCTAGACGGACGTATGTCGATCAAATAGGCGACGTGCTGAAGAAGGGCCAAATTAAAAATACCCGTAATCGGCGAGCGTGTATGAAAAGATTGATGAATGTGGAAGAAGCGAAAGAGGTTTGTTTGAATCGAAGCATTTGACGTTCCATTGTTTCTGCCTACCCTAATGGGAGACAGGCGTGACAGATTTGTATATGTATGTATGTATTGGTCCCATAGAAATTTTATTAAAATCGGTTCAGTACTCTGGTTTTAAATAAAAATAACTAGTTTTGCTACAATCGAAGTCGGTTTTTTTAGTGGAACGCAATCTTAATTATTTCGATAATTGCTTCTATCAAGTTCTTATAACAGTATACCTAATTATAATTATTTCTCTTTATTTATATAATTAAGGTATTTAATTATCAAATATTAATTATTATATTTAAGAATTAGAAAGTTAAGAACATAAGCCCTCGTTGTAAGATCGAGTTGATTGCGTTAATTAAAATTTCATTACGTTTTAGTCTTTGGAGTTATAATCCCTTGTGTTTTTACTGGTATAAAATAGGTTAAATGCCAAGGATTTATTTTATTTATATTTAAGGTTTTATTCATCAATATTTACGTTGTACTTTTCATGAAATATAGATTAGTAAGTGTGAAAGAACTTTATTTCTGAATATTTTTTTATGCTAATTAGAACGCCAAACAAGCTGACGACCCACCTGATGTAACGTGGTAATCGTCGCCTATATACATAACAGTGTACTCCCATGATATCCCCCAAGCGTTGCCATTCCTGAGAACACAGGTATTATTCCTCTGTACCCAGTAAATTCACTGCCATATCCCATTCTTCAAACCGAAACACAGCCATGCAAACACAACTGTTTCACGGTAGAAACACGAATGCGGCAGAGGTGCCCAGCAAACGACTTTTGTACAAAGTCTCCTTCTGGTATTATTCCTGGATATATACTTCATCATCGTTATATTATCAGCCGTTAATTGATCATTGTTAAATATAGGCCTTCCCCTAACTGTGTAGTTTTGCCAGTAGTTGTGATGAATACGCCTGGAGGTGTATTCTTCACAACTACGAGAATTAACTGGCCTGCCTTTTCATGCCTCTCCAGCTTATACAGTTAGCGCATGCGGGGTTACCATTCCATTTCCGTTAAAATAACTAGCTAAATATAATTTTACTGATGACCGGTCGACTGTTGAATAGGCGACCGGAAGATGATTGGGGTTGTCCAATCGAGGGCGTTGGTATTGCAGGCGTTCATAGGCTACGGTAACCGCTTACCACCAAGTGGGCCGTATACTTGTTTGCCACCTCAGTGGTATAAAAAAAAGACCACTCTATTATCTCAATGGCAGTTTTAGGCCGTCAGTCTTACTTTATGTCCCCTAATTTGCACTCTATCCCCAAATTTATATACTCAGTGTGTCCAATGGTAAGGTAAGGTAAAGCTCGAGGTAAGGCGAAAGTGTAATTTGATGATGCACTATTATCGGTTGCTCAACGGCGGAATAGACAATCCTGCAACTCTTAGCCGTTGTTCTTTGTACGCACCCCAACGCTGCATGCGATTGCGTGCTTGGCGATTATTATCGGCACTGCCGGTTTGCACCTGTACTGCTCAGTTTGCTCCCACTTATTAGGCTATTTCTCTGCTCAATTCTCTGATTGCTTTGATTCTAAGTTTGTAAAATAAACATATGGCTCACTACACGTTTTGAGGTATTGTAAGTGTGGTGAGTAATTTATAAATAAATAAATATAGCAGGCATATAGCCACCTAATATAGTATCTAACAGCGAGGACGGGATGCCTGAACAAATGCACCTCCAAATATAAAAAAAAAATATATGTTTTTACTTTAAAAAAGAATAAGATTCTCAATTGGGTTGTACTTTTTATGTGTATTACCTCATAACTTCGTCAATTGTAAACCGATTTGGAATTTATTTTTTATCTAAAAAATTTATGATTGTAGATTGGTCAAAGAAATTTTATCATAATCGGTTCACTAGTTCAGTTTTTTGATCAACGTTGACTAGTCTTGTCACAACCGAAGTCGTTTATTTTGTGGGAGACAGTCTTATTCTTCTGAAACTATAACAAATAAAATTATCATGACAAGCAATTATGATAATAATATAAAAATATACGTTATTTTTTCAAACTTTTATTCACTTTCTATATACGACCTTATCTAAAACGTGTAAGGACAATATTTGTTTAACCCAATAATATATCTGAATAAGGAGTACATAAATCTCAAAGTTAAACAGGATAAAATAATAAATATTGCGATACAAACAGTGTCAACTTCCAAGAAAAAGCACTCAGTGATAATGTCAAGACGTAGGTAAGTATACCTTATTTTATTACCTCAATAATACATATTTTCAATAAACTACAAAAAGAAGCAGGTTTTCAATTCGGTTGAATTTTTTTGTATGTTTCTTACCACATAACTGCGTCAGTTGTAAAATGTACTTAAAGATTGGTCTTATAAAAATTTTATTAAAATTAAACCAATAGTTTACCTTTTAGATCAAAATATCTAGTTTTATTACAATAATTGAGGTTGGTTTTTTATGGGACACAATTTTTAATTATAATATGAAACTAATAATATAAATCTTTCAAGATTTGTATGCTTAATAATAAAAATATTATTATTCTGTGATATCGACTTTTTTTTATATAACTTAGAATGGCAAACAAGATGCCGGCCCACCTGATGGAAAGTGGTAACCGTCGCCTATAGACCATGGACATGACAGAGTATACTGATTCGCCCATGATACCCCCCATGAGTTGCCATTCCTGAGGACTAAGGTGTTATTCCTCCATACCCAGTAAATTTACGCCATATCCCACCCTTCAAACCGAAACATAGCCATGCAAACATAACTGCTTTACGGTGCAGTAAATACATATGTATTTACTGAGGATTACGTCATCCCGTGAATTTCGTATCACCTACAACGCCATCTAGTAAACGTAAACCGAAATAGCGGTTCCCATACAAAATTACTCATTTTTAATTTTTTCGATTTTTTATCTAAACTTTAGCGATTTTTAGGCTTTTTTCTTTTAAATTGTGTTATAACGAACATAGCAAATGTGGACCTGATGGAAAGCGATGATGTGATCTAAAATGGGGCTCGCAGATCCACGAATAGACTATTGGATATTGGCCTTAAATTGGTGCTGATTATATTTAGATGGAAAAATATAAGCAGGGAGAGAGAGGTCCAGTTCCTGGCCGTATGCATGATTTAGGAAGACGAAAAACACTTCGCATGTATTAATGGTATATCGACAACGTAAAGGTAAAGGCTCTCGTCCCTTCTGGTCGTCTGATGCCAAGAGTGAAGGAGGAATTAGAGTTTTAACGAGACTAACGACCTATTGATTTATTTATAAATATTATAAATTTGAAAGTTTGTTTATTTGTTACCTTATAGCGCCTTAACGGCTTAACCAGTCACTATGAAATTTTGTATACACGCACTATATGGGATAAAGAAGATTAAAGCCTTCTTTTTATCCCGGTCAGTGATCATATCCCGGTCACGTAACTGAAATCCCGGGTAAGTACGATTTACCTAATAATAAATTGTTCCATTTATCTGTTAATGTATTGAACAATTTTATGATGGAATTCCTATTCTATTCTAATAATCATCTAGCTTTACAAAGTAAACGATAATTATAACTGAATGGACGTCCGCATTGTTGGTCGAGTGGGCTTGAGTGAAGCGCCTCCATATTGTGTTTCATAAATTGACGGATTTTAGGGTTTGTTTGCTTATATGTTTCATTTATAGAGGAGTGACCGCAATTTGTTATATCTATTTATATGTATCTATATGTGTGCGCCGCTAGCGTATAGCATTCCATTATCATTCATTAAAAAAAATATATAACGGTCTATAGGAACTTATTTTAGGAGTAACTCAGCAGGCAGGGAGACTTTGTCGATTGCTTGGGTACCTCTGTCCCATTCGTGTTTCAACCGTGAAGCAGTTGTGTTTGCATGGCTATGTTTCGGTTTGAAGGGTGGGATATGACGTGAATTTACTGGGTACAGAGTAATAACACCTGAGTCCACAGGGATGGCAACGCATGGGGGGTATCATGGGCGAAACAGTATACTCTGTTATTTCCATGGTACTGCTCATGTCTATAGGCGACGGTTACCACTTCCATCAGGTGGGCGGTCAGCTAGTTTGTCATTCTACGTTGTATAAAAAAAAAATTAAAATAAAAAAGGCAATCTTTGGATGGAGAGGTGTACAAACAGTTTGATCGAGATGCATGATAAAAATTTCAATATTTTAAATACTTAATAAATAATGTTTCATCATATATACGAGCCCTTAACTGTCCACTGCTGAACGTAAGCCTCGCCTTTGGGGGGAATTGCCAGTAGTTGCTACGCTTGGCAGGTAAATTGGCAACCGCAGTTAGGCTTTGAAGATATTTTAAGAGGAAAATCGCTTCTTATGATACTCAAGGGAGAGTAAGGGGTGGTCTGTCCTATGCTGGGACCACACGGCAAGTCTGTTTAAATGAAGATTATTTTATCTATTTTCTAAAGATAAAATAGTTACTATTATAACGAAGGTTGACATGGGAAATTGAGATTTACCTTCTGAGAAATCAAATCTTTGAAGGTTAATATGACATTACATTTATGTGGGACAATCTCGAGGGATGAAACAGTAAGCGTACCTTATAGATAAAATTGCATTGAAGCGGTAAATCTTTTTTCAAGCGATTTGAAAAAAACGAAAGAAGATCTCAACTAGGTTGTATTTTTTAAGTTACATCAGAATTCGTCATTTATAAATTAATTTAGAAAATTTTTATTTTTACCTTTACATTGGTCCTATAGAATTTTTACCAAAATCAATTCAGTAGCCGGTATTTTATTTTTTTTATGATATCTATTGTAAACAGATCGCAGAAAAGGTAACTTTACCTCCCTTACTTTTCTAGCTGTGTTTTTCAAATTGTCATAATGTTTTGCAAATTTTGAAAAAATAGAAATTTTAATTATTATAAAAAAGAACAGTCATTTAAATCCCTTATTAGCAGATATCATAATATTTTATATGTACTCGTATAATAATTTATTATTATTTATTCATGCATCAACGTTATTTTATTATATATGTATTATTATTATTGTTTTAACATATGTAAGTGCATACAGTTACTATTTATTGTATTATATGTTCAATTTTAACTAGGTATTGTTGAGTTTATTCTTTCTTTCAGCTTCTCAAAGGTTGGCTGTAAGAGATCCCTCTATGGAATAAGTCTGCCATTGTATATTAATTTATTGACTGTTTACTTGTATTAAAAATAATTACCTGCAAATGAAGAGGGTTGAACGACGGCTGGTTATATATAAGACCATAGACAATTTCGATCTTATCAGTCTCCGGTCGGAAGGTACCGAAGAGGCGATCCCAAATGATAAGCACGCCGCCGTAGTTCACGTCAAGGCAGTATTTGTTGCTTCCTGAGGATAAAAAAAAAACCCCTGCACATATAACACAGCATCACCTAAGATTAAACTAAGCAGAGTTTGTACTATGGATAAACCATTGATAGATATAGTTAAATGTTATTTTTTTTTAAATTCATATTAATTTATTAATTTAATCAACTAATTGACCAATACGTTTTTCCAATACAATCTAGGGAAACATCAATACAAGAATAAATACCGTATTAAAGATAAAAATACGAACAATATATGATATATAATACGAAGCAATACATAGCAATATATTACATATTAAACATAGAAAATACCCAGACCAATACAAACATACATACTCATAAATATGTGTATTGTCCGGAAATCAAACTTACGCCTTTTAGAAAATAAGACGACGTATTAAAAACTACAGCAGCAAAGTCATTAATTAAAAAAAATATAGCCATAGACTAGATATCAACTCGTAGTTCCAAATTAAGTAGAGCTTGTACTATGGTTAAGTACAACTGTTGTAAAAATACATTTAATATATATATATATATATATATATATATATATATATATATATGTGTGTGTGTGTGTGTGTGTGTGTGTGTGTGTGTGTGTGTGTGTGTGTGTGTGTGTGTGTGTGTGTGTGTGTGTGTGTGTGTGTGTGTGTGTGCGTGTGTGTGTATCCTCACATCTAGATCAAGAATTAGAGGTACCCAAATTTTCGTCGTTTCCTAACTGTATTTATTGGGGGTAAGGATTGTCAGTAATTTGGTTCAAAAGCCCCATTGCTAGCAATATGGGCTATATTACAATATTACCAGGTCGACTTTCATGCAGGTCCCCATAGAAGTTATTATGGTTAATTCTTGTTGAATTCGTCACAATAGACTTACTTTTATTTTCACCTATCATCGCTCAATTATTTAAGTGTTTGCTTCTATTTAGCCCAATGAAAGATAGCCGAGACCTCCGATAGAATAACATCATCTTCCTGCCCTTTTCCCATATATTTAGTAAGGTATAAACTGCCTGACGTCTACTCTCCTTGGGAATATATTTGTTGGTGGTAAGGTGGAGTGTGTATAAAGGAAAAAAGATAGGGTACATTGGGAGGGAGTAAAGGAAGTTGATAAAAAAGAAATGAAGGATTTATGGAGAAAAAAGGAATGGAGAAAGAAGAAAGGGGGCATTGCAGTTGCGGAAGGGATAGTTTAATGCAATAACTACCGATTTATCTTACGTATAATTAGATCTAAAAGGCTCAACTGGAAGGGATACTGGTCAGTAAATGTAGTGGCCCGGAAGTCTTGGATCGCATATTTGTTTATTTATAGGTACTCTAAACCGGATTTATTACTAAAGATTCGCTATCACTATTTTATAATAAGTTGTACCAGAGATAGATACTCTTTATTGTTTCCTCCAAAAGATTACAATAGTAAACTTATTATAAATATAAATAATTACAAGAAATAAACACAATGAGAAAACAGTGGGCGGCCTTATCGCTAAGAGCGATCTCTTCCAGGCAACCAAGATGTTCTATTTCTAGTACAGTTTACTATAAAATCTAATATAATTAATTTGATAACGAAGCAATTTCAATTTGATAATAAAAGAAAGTTTATTACGAGTATAATTGGACTGAAACCTTATACTGTCGGTGTAAGGTTTCTGAATGAAACAAAATAATATTAAAATACAAATAATATTTTATTTATTATTTGTATTCCACTTGTTTGTATTCACAACTCAGAACTCAATTCCTTTTTGCATCGTTTAAGTATTTTGTTTACCATATTTACAGATTGTTGATTTGTTCATCGTTTCATTGATAGACTGAAATACGTCTACAATTACTTACTTTGATGTTTATTATTAGTCGTCTTAAAGGAAAATAAAGTAAAATATTCAAAAGCGACATTACGTCATCGGGAAGCAGTGAAATGCGCGAGCGTCCTAAAGGAAATTCTCGTTGCCTCCTTTCCACGCGAGTTCGTATCGTGTGAAAGTAATTCACTTTTTATCGATTTATTGTATTAGATGTGCTATTAAATACTTCAATAGAGTTTTATTATGATGTCAATTCGACCGTTTATGAACGGATTTCGTTTATTTTTTATCCGACTTTAAAAAGAAGTATGTTCTTAATTAGATAGATAGATAGATAGATATATCGTTTATTTGTTTGTTACTAAACACCCACAACATGTACATAAGAATAGATAATACATAAAACAACATAAGATTTATAAAATTGTGTTATTATGTGTGACCTGCAGCAATACAAAAAGGTCGAAGCTCAGCGTGGAACATTGTTCAAGGAACAAAACACTGATTTTCAGCCATTTGAGGGTACCTTGAAAATAATAATTAAAATAATTCGGTTGTATTTCTTTATGTTTGTTACGTAATAATTTCGTTACTTGTAAACCGATTTGAAAAATTCTTCTTCTATCAGAATGCATTCAATCAATACAATATATGTAAATTGTATTGTATCATTTCCCAAAAAATACCGATTGTGGTAAAACTAGATATTTTGATTTAAAAAATAAACTATAAAAAGCGATTTTGATAAAATTCCTATGGTACTAAACTGTAAGTGTATCCTTTTAAATAAACAAAAAATCTAAAATGGTTTACAATTCACGGAGTTATGATGTAACAGACATAAAAAAAATACAACCAAACTGAAAAACTACTTCTTATTGAAGTGGGTTGAAAAACATATTAATCACTAGAATATTGTCGAAAGCATCACGTGAATAATACAATTCAAAAGAGTCATGTTCGCATCAAAATAAGCCGCTTTATACTAACAATAGTTACGTACGTATTATCCGTTTACGGGGCTTATTATAGGCTGCTTATCCTCTTATTATGTTGTCTGTCTGCAAAATAGGAAATTCATAGTAGTTCCACTACGTTAGTAAGCTATTCTCGTGCCAATATTACGCAAACCATTATCTATACTGATTTCATAAAAAGGAAAGATTTGACTGTTACTTTGCAATGGATAAATTCAAAAACTATTCCTACTAAAAGATTTTAAAGAAAGAAACTTTATTTTACAGAAATATGCGACTATACCCACATAGGGGTTAATTTTTTTTATTATATATATATACAATCGTGTCGTTGAACCCGCAACAGAGGATTTAATGTTAGTATTTTAATTTTTTTTTACAACACAGAGGGCAAACGAGCATATTGCTCATCTGATGGTAAGTGATTACCGCCGCCCATCACCCACGATACCAAAGGCAGGTGTGCTGCCGGCCTTTTAAAAAGGTATATGCTGTTTTCTTGAAGGTTATGATGTGGTATCGGTTCGGAAATACTGCTGCTGGAAATTGATTCCAAAGAGTGGTTGTGCGGGAACCGCCACTTATCCAGATGGTTGGAATGAAACTTTAGTCTTTGGCGCGTTGTACGGTGGTGAAAGCCAGCAGCTTGTCGCAAATACAGCGACAACGGAGTGTAAAGGGTTAATTTATATAAATGAATTAAATCAAATTTTACACTTCAATCAATCAACTAATAAAATTATGTCACGCAGACGAAGTCGCGAATAAAAAAATTGATTATTCTTAAAAATAATACGATGAAATTGCCCTCAATCTCCAATCATTATTTCAGAAGATATATAAATGACGCATGTTGAGTTTTCTACTCAATAAGTAAACATTCTGAAAACGACCAGGTTCTTGGAACTCCAATTTAGCATAACGATCAAACTTGTGATATAAATAGGATTAAAGGAAAAAATATATTATACATTTTAATATAAGTATACAAATTTCGTATCTCGATGTTTATTTACGTCAATATATTAGGAGCTTAACTGATTTTAATACAATTTTGTAAATATGTATTGTTTACTGTTTATTTGATTTGAATTATTTTGTTTAATTCCGCTACGATTAATATGTTTACGTCTACTAATAATCGAAGTATGATCACCACTATTACTACCAGAAGTTCAATAACCTTCCATATTAGCTATCAATCTTCAACTGCCATTTTGTTTACAAACATTTTGCGACACGTATTTCACTTCTAAACGAGGCACCTTTAGGTAAATTATTAGATAACTGCTAGGAGCCTAGTGTTAACCTAGTGTTGCCAAATAATAGCGGAATTAAACAAAATAATTCTAATCAAATATCCAGTTATATAGACTTCTGCAAGATAACACCCAGTTCAGTAAAATGTATTGTTTTAAAACATTCAATGTGAATGGTTTTTTTTAATGGACAAAAAAATACTAAAACCATTTATTTATCATTGGTTGACATCGGTGAAGTACCAGTAAGCAATTGTAGATAAGGAAGAAGTAAAATCAGTTAGCTCATCGTGATGAATTCAACTAAAATTACCCAGAATGGTTTCCTAGGGAAACCGCGTGGAGGTCGACTTGACAGAGTTTGTAACATATAATGAGGCTTTTAGACGCCATTATTAACAATCCTCCTCTTCATTCACGAGGAGGTTAAATAGAAAAGGTATGTTATGGGGTTTCTACTCTCCCATCGCTAACAATCCCTTCTATTTATGTCATCGAATAATTTATGAAATGAAGCGTACTAAACTGGTTCTCTTACCATGATGCACTCTATGATGACTGGGAGTATTTAGTACATATTCCAGAGGACCCAGGCTCTTGATCGCTTCTGTATGTATCCAGAACATGTACAGGTAGCTGAATTGGTGATGCATCACGAATTGCGCTGGTGGGATCGCCAGCGCCAGGGGCAGGTAGAATATCTGAGTAATAAATAAGTAAGTACTTTATATTATTCTCAATTTCGTGTATAATATAGTATATATCAGATATGTGTAAGTAATTTGTTATTTAATATATCTATTCGTTTATATATATAATTTTAGTATGTATGTATATCAATAATTACTAGTACCGCATTCGAGTATTCTGACATTTCCTTGCGGTTGACTGGGAGAGAATGCTTTTAGCATTAAATCCGCCATGTACACATATATGCACTAATGAATAAAAAAATAAATAAAAATATAATTTATTTATTGTATCTATTTATGTAGTGGAGCAAAGTATAAGTATTTTTAATAATGTCATTTAATTGACATGAACAAAGAGAAGATTCTCGTTTCGTCTCTTTGTCTGTACGTAGCACGAAACCTTTGCCATTCTTAAGTTAATTTTGGTGTTTTTTTTTGGAAATTGTTAGTGTTTATTCTCGGATTGGTTTCATATTATTTTATCATAATTAAAGTCATCGAGTATTGAATTTAACGTGGTAAAAGGTGAGTCTACAGTCTTCAATTCGATAAATGTAATTTATTATCGGTGTTATCCGATACAAGAGAGTTAGAATTTCAAGACATTATTATGGCTCAAACGCTTTGTTTGTCGTGTGGTTCCGGTATAGAACAGACCAACATTTCCTTTTCCGTAGATATCGTAAGGGAACTTAATGGTCAAGGAATGGACAGCAGTGTCCTTCTCAAAACATCACAAAAGCCTAACTGCGGTTGCCAAATAACAAAACCCCCCATATAGGAGAGATCTATGATCAGCAGTGGACAGTTAACAGTTGACATGACGAATTAGTTTCAATAGCCTTTAGACTTAAAGATCATAATCCTATGATACAAATCTATAATAAAGTGCCACAAAAAAAAAAACAATAATTTTGTTAACTTATTTTTGCTTTGAATTTATTTCAGTCCCGGGGCTATTGTTCCTACGCGCACTTAGACATTGAATTTAATATTTGATTGCCTGACTAGGAATACATTAAGGCGGCGCTCGCTGAAAGGAAAAATATCAATTGACCCCTTTTTTGCCAATAAGCAATATTTGTACATCAATCAGTATTGAAAAATAAATTAAATCTCTGTTTTATGTAAATATACCCTTATGTAAGATTTTTATTATGAGTTCGAGCTTGAACTTATTAAAGGGTCTTAGTGAAACATTATTTAGACTAATTTTTTTAATATATTAATAAAAATAAGATTTTAGTAAGTATAATTATTGGATTATTTTGAAAAGCAGCAAAATTAAATAATTATTACAATCGATTCAGGGACAAAAATATTTAATTTTATATCTTGTTTATATAATATTTATCAATAAAGTTTATATAATAAAAAAAATTTGCCTTATTATCTATTCTCTGCTGTTCTAATTTATAATCATTAGAATTATGGTATATATATAATATAGAGTAACAATATTTATACATATTTTAGTAGTAAATGCACCGCTTACTTAATTTTCTGCTTATCTCGTGGTTGACTGGTAGATAATGCCATTAGGTGTTAAGTCCGCCATATGTACACTTAGTTATATAATTATGCATTGAAGTTTAAATAAATAAAATGAAAAATTTAAGTATTTGAAATTTCCTTTTAAATGAAATCGGTTGAAAAAGGATTAAAAACTTACAAAACCGCACCATCCTTGCAGAACGGACTGCCTGATGCCGATTCCCATGTTAAAATCCTCCGAAGTATGATGAACTTGATGCTGTGCCCATAATATGTGGACTTCTGCAAGGTAAAACGAATTCAACGATAAATCAGTCTCGGTAGTTTTTAGAAAGAAACGCGTGGAGGCCGACCTAATGATATTGATAACAATAGGGACTAACCTCCCCATTACCAACAATCTCTTGCTCCCCCATTATATATATATATATATATATATATATATATATAAATAACCCATAAAAGTATATACAGTAGTAGGGAACAGGAAATAATATTAGTAAAGTAGGAAGTTTGTGTGTCCAGTAATACCTTGACAGTCCGGAACTTATTATATATATAAGTGTAACTAACCGAGAAACGATGTGATCATAATTTATATTAATTGCTTGTTTACTTTATTCTATTTTTAAACAAATAATTGTGTACGAATATAACTTATATGTACCCGTTTAACATATATACGTGTTATAACTAGCGACCCGCCCCGGCTTCGCACGGGTGCAATGCTGACACAAAATACACTAAAGAATACAATTTCGAAAATATATTTTTTTATATTTATCGTAACGTACTTATAAATACGATAAAATTATCAGCGTTTTTCTACTATATTGTACATGTATTATACATATAAACCTTCCTCTTGAATCATTATATCTATTAACTAAAGTATACTCTTAAAAAAACCGCATCAAAATCCGTTGCGTAGTTTTAAAGATTTAAGCATATATAGGGCTAGACAGACGGGAATAACTTTGTTTTATACTATGCAGTGATAGTGAAGAGAAGTAAACAAAGAGTGGATTTTAATTGAAAGTAAAATTTTATTATGATGTTATTCCTCTGTACCCTGTAAATTCACGCCATATTCCAACCTTCAAACCGAAACACAGCCATGCAAACACAACTGCTTTACGGTAGAAATACAAATGGGACAGAGGTACCTAAGTAATCGACTTTTGTACAAAATCTCCCTCTGGTAAATATATATATATATATATATATATATATATAATGCATTAATGAACAATTAAAATAAATTAATAATGCATTAATAAAAATTTAATTTGTGTAGTTTCAGCATAGAACGCGCCACCCCTTCTTTTCTATAAGTAGGTTAATGTAAGGTATTGTTCGTAATGCAGACTACCAGTCCCATTGCTAGCAAAATACCTTGTCAGGTCGATCTCCATATGGTCCCCACTAGAAACCATCGTGTACTGAATTCCAGGTGTATTCGTCACGAAGGGCTAATCGACCAAACTTTTTATCCTTCCCTATCATCCTCACTGGTGCCTCGCCAGCATATACCGTTAGCGCAGGAGGGGTCACCATTCCATTATCATCCGTTAAAGTAGACGAAAGGGGTATAATGGAATACCCACTAGAACATTAGATAAGGTTATATGTAATAAGAAACCCTGTAAGGGAGAAGCTATGGTGTAATATATCTCTTCGTAATGTATAATAAAAACATATAACGTGGGATATTGCGATAAGCGTTGTTTATGAGAGGAAAATGTTATTTTTTTAAAGCTACATCAAAGGGAGAGGCTTCTTGATAGTGATGAGTAATGCAGCAATATCTATATAATGAAATATATATCAATAAAAAATATGTTAAAAGTCTGTTTTATCCAAAAAAATATATTAAATAACGGACTTTTAACATGCTCGAAAATAAATATCCGACAGACATGGGCGATTTCAAAATAGATGACGATCTTTTTTTGCTATAAATTTTTTTATACAACTTAGAATGGCGAACAAGCAGACGGCTCACCTGATGGAAAGTGGTAACCGTCGCCTATAGACATGAGCAGTAGCATGGACATAACAGAGTATACTGTTTCGTCCATGATACCCCCCCATGCGTTGCTATTCCTGAGGACTCAGTTGTTATTCCTTTGTGCCCTGTAAATTCACGCCATATTCCACCCTTCAAACCGAAACACAGTCATGCAAACACAACTGCTTCACGGTTGAAACACAAATAGGACGCAGTGGACGGATGATGGCTAATATGAGGAATATGATGTTATAATGATTTAAGTGAAGAAAGCGGCGGGACATGGCTAGTGTCTTAAATAATTTCAACTTACCATGACATGCCCTGTGCATCCAGTAGTAGCAAAAGTCCACTCCTAATGCAGCCACGTACCACGTGACTGTATGGTCCCAAGGCAGATCAACTAGTCTGAAGTTAGCGTATATCCAGGTATACAGATAGGATTCCGCGCCACGCCATATTAATCTAAAAATTAAAAATAAATATTATTGGTTCTTATAATGCCATCTAATCTCGAACTGAACAAAGCTATCGGTACTAGATAACTGATAGAGGGAGACTTTGTACAAAAGTAGTTTGCTTGAGTACCTCTGTCCCATTCGTGTTTTAACCGTAAGGCAGTTGTGTTTGCATGGCTGTGTTTCGGTTTGAAGGGTGGGATATGGCGTAAATTTACCGGGTACAGAGGAATAACACCTGAGTGCTCAGGAATAGTAACGCATGGGAGGCTCATGGGCGAAACAATATACTTTGTTATGTCCATGGTACTGCTTATGTCTATAGGCGACGGTTACCACTTTTCATCAGGTGGGCCGTCAGCTTGTTTGCCATTCTAAGTTGTATAAAAAAATTAGATAAGAAATACAAGGTGGCGCTGGAATCGAGATTTATGATTTCTGTTGATTATTTTGTAATTAAAGATAATTTGAAGTAAAATTTCTAAATTAGTATTTTCTATTATTTTGTATGAATATGAAGTGATAGATGATACATATTCTTTTCCTGAATGAATTATAACCTATACAATCGCAATGTTTGTTGCTAGTATGTGTTTTGTTACAAAGTTGTACATTGCAAGAGAATAAAGATAAAATCATGACAAAATATTAATATATTGGAAAAAAATAAATAAAAACACTCGCCAATTTAGAAATTTTCACTCAACTTATTTTTAAATATAAAACAATTAACAAAACCCACTACTCTCGATTTTAGCACCATCTAGTAATTCGTGCTTAATTTTGTTTAGTGATCAATCATCATAATTTTTTTTTTTATAACCTATTACATTCAGTTCGAATCAATTGCGTACCTGCCACATTCTTGAAATATTCCATGGGATATACTAGTGATTCCATCATTAAGTCGTATACCTTTTTTTCCTTCTAACCTTAGTACTATATGTTCTAAAATCATAAAGATGAGAAAATATGGCCACGACTGCAACAAAAGAAAAAATGTTGAAAATAAATAAAATAAAAATAAAAAAAAAATAAACTAAAAATCTTAAGTATCTTTCAATACACATTTTATAGTAAAAAATCTAAATTTAAAGTATCCCCGGATCCAATAAAAACTATTTGAAAATTAAAATAAAACATTCGGAGAATTTAAATTCGATTTTTAAATAACTTTATCCCGCTCTTTTAATCTGCCGTCAATGCCACCATTTTGTTCTTTATAAAACACTATATAAAATAACTTTGCGCATTAAATTAAGATCGATGCTATTGATCTATTATTTTATAGAAACATTTGAGTAGATATCGTGATAATTTAATGACTACCAATGCGATAAAAGGGCTCGTTAGATGAATTTATGGGACTTGGTTCTTAAATATTAGTATCCGCAAAGAAACTTCCGTCTTATCTGGATGCTCCGTGTCGAGATACTAGAAACAAATGTCATTACGAAAGTTTAATTTTTCCACAGACCTACACTAATAAATATTTTTATTTATTTATTTAATACTTTATTGTACACATTAGTTATAAAAATATGACAGAGGTAAACAAAAGTACAAAGGCGAGCTTAACTCTGATAGAGTTTTCTTCCAGCAACACCTAAAGTGGAAAGGAGCATCAACGTCAGCGGATACAGCAGTGTACAATTTTTAAACAGCCAAAAATTAAATTAATTACATTATATTTTATCGTACAAATACACATATACATATACATAAATATATAAATATCTAGATAGAGTAATAAAAAAATGAAAAAAATCCTAGAAACACTTAGACTTTAGTTGTAACATATAAAATTGTATATTTTTTATGCAATTCAACAAATAGTAGAAAAACAAGAGAAAAACTGTCAGTACATGTTATACAAAGTGGGTAATTTCTTATAATTTATATATATAAAAGAGGATGCTGACTGGCTGATTGACCCATAAATTAACGCACAGCCGAAACTACTGAATCTAGGATCTTCACATTTTTCAGATATGTTTTTCATATATCGTACATGAACTTTCTTAAAAGAGGGGGGAAAGGGATTGTTAGTAATGGAGACTGAGAATCTCATTGCTAGCAATATATCCAACCAGGTCGACCTCTTCGCGGTTCCCCCTGGAAACTATCATGATTAATTCCTGATGAATTCATCATGATGGACTAACTGGCCTGTTTTCATTCTCATCAATCACCCTTCACTGGTGCTCCGCCAGCGTATTCCGTTAGCGTATCCCGTTAGCGCAGGCGGGGTTACCATTCCATTTTCACCCATAAAAAAAAACACTAAGAAAGAAATTCAATCTTTAAGGAGGTAAAACGAGGGTTGATAATTTCTATGGAATGTTATCAGTTCAGAAGATAGACACGTGGAATTTTACAGAACAACCAATCGAATACTACACGCGAGTGAAGCTACGGGAAAAAACTAGTCTATAAATATAAGCACGAGTAGAATAGTTATGAGTGACCAAGTACATGTCTTTTGTACATAGTCTCTGGTCTTAGCTAATTTTTGTACCAAATCAGACACGGCAAGTAGGCGTGATTTGCGAAACTAGAAAAGAAGTGCGTAAAGACATTGTTGTAACAAATTATAAATAAAAGCAAAAATATAAAATATGTTTCACTAAAGAACTGAAAAAATAAATTACCTATATTTCATATATGGTATATTTTTGTGATAAAAATAAAAGATATTCTTTATTGCACTTAAACAATACATACAGCGATTAGTTTAACAACTTTAGTTAGCAAGGGAGGGCTTATATCTGAAAGAGATCTCTTCCAGCCGACCCAGTGTGGTTAGAGAGAAAGTAATTTGGGTAAATCAGTGCAGGGAAGGTACCGGTAAAAATAATGTAAATACAACAAACGAACACAAATTGTGAATAAATAAATAAATACGTAAATAGATAAATATATATACATATGTAATAATCAATATCATATAGATAAAACACTTCGAAAACTCGCAAAAATGCCATTTTAACTTATTCATTATGAATATTTTTAAGGAAAAATAAAAAAAAAAAACATTGACTTTAATTGTGACAAAACCAGTTATTTTGCTTTCAAAACCAAACTACTAAACTAATATTGATAAAATTTCTACAAGACCAAACTGTAAGCATATCCTTTCAGATAAAAACAAGAATTCTCAAATCGGTTTAGAACTGACGGATTTATTAGGTAACAAACATTAAAAGGGGGAAAGGATTGTTAGTAATGGAGAGGTTAGTCCCCACTGCTACCCATATACCCTATCAGGTTGACCTCCACGTAGTTCCCCTTGGAAACTATCGTGACTAATTTATCGTTGAATTCGTTACAGTGGGCTAACTGGCTTGCCTCTTCACCTTCCCCTATCACCTCTCAATGGTATCCCATCAATATATACCGGCGGGCATTAAAAAAAAAAATGCAACCGAAAACAGTCTTTAAAAATAAGGGGGTTCTCGACTCCCTTATTTTTAAAGACGATTGAAAAGCATTATAAGAGATATTGGAAAATATTTCCAAACATTGAAAAGTATTTGCAATATTTCTTATGTACATATATAAGTTATAGCTAATAGGAAATTCAGAGCAATACTAAGTAGTAATCATCAGTTTCCTAATCTGTCGTAATGCTAGCTGGACAAGCTGTGACATAGGGACACATTACCCTAGTTTGCGGTTTGTCGACGTCACACCAAGGTCATCCCTAATCAGATACGAGATTAGATCCGTCCGCCATTTTATCTTCATATAAAATGAACATTCAGTATATTTTGTGAATTCTATAATTGAAGACACGAATAGATGAAGGTAATGTGGATATGGCTTTGGGAATAAGATATGTAAAAAAATATTCTGGCCTTGTGCTTCTGGCATAGAATAGGCCACCCCTACCTTTCCCATGGGTATCCTAGAAGCCAAGAGAAAGGATTAGGATGCCCACAAGGAATCTTAAAGGGATGGCGAGGGATGGGTAGCAGCGTTCCTCTTAAAACATCTTCAAATCCTGACTGCGGTTTGGCAGGCGAATTGGCGATCGCAACTACTGGGAAAACCCCCCAAGGGGGAGGCTTATGTCCAGCAGTGGACAGTTAAAGGCTGACATGATATTGATGAAAAATTTAGACGTATTTTTGGATTTTCTAAATTTAAAAATTAAAAAAGCAAATAGGCTGACGGTCCACTTGATGGTAAATAGTAACCTATAGACGTGAAATTACCGTGGACATAACAGAGTATACTCTGTCCCCCATGATACCCTTCATGCGTAACCATTCCTGAGAACTAAGGTGTTATGTCTCTGTACCCAGTAATATCATTGCCATACCGCATTCTTTAAATCGAAAGACAGTTGTGAAAATATAATTTCTTTACTGTAGAAACACGAATGGGACACAGTTACCCAAGCAAACGACTTTTGAACAAGTCACAAAGAACTATAAAGTTATAGTAAATAAAACATAACTTACATATAAGTTATGTTGGTATGTACATAGCACATCTTAACACTTTCCATGAATGGAATAATTCATATACAGAGGTAATTTTCATCATCAACATCATCAAATCATCCGTTATCTGTTCACTGCTGAATACAGGCCTTTCCCATAGATTGGAAGGTTATGCGAATAGTTGCCATACTTGACAACCGAGTTGGCAACTAAGTAATTAAGTTTTAGTGATGTTTTAAGAGGGACACTGCTGTAGATGTAGTTAATGGTTGAGGATCATTAAGTTTCATCTAATGACGTACATGGGAAAGGCCTATTTTTTTTTGTTTTTGATGGGTGAAAATGGTATGGTAACCCCACCTGTGCTAACGGGATACGCTGGCGGAACACCAGTGAAGCGTGATAGATGAGAATGAAAACAGGTCAGTTAGCCCATCATGATGAATTCATTAGGAATTAACCATGATAGTTTCCAGAGAGAATCACGAAGAGGTCGACCTGGTTGGGTATACTGCTAGCAATGGGATTTTCAGTCTCCATTACTAACAATCCCTTTCCCCCCGGGAAAGGCCTATTTCATGCCGGTACCACAAGGACATACAGGCGAGAGATAACTTTGCTGCTTAGTTTTTACTTGTATGCGTAAATAAAAAGAGTTTTAGATGTTACATTGTTTTCTTTTTTTTTTAATTTAGTGGATGTTTTGTCCATAGTTCCGAGTATTTTAAGAACAAATATTCTATTTACTAGTCTTTAGAGTTTTATACTGAAATAATTCATTTATATTTATATTTCATGCCTGAAGATGACATTTAGGGAGTTAACAACAAAAACAGTGGAACAAAGCATTTTGAATTATATAATACAAATGATTTTTTTCCATCCGTTTACAAATAATTTATTTTTTCAAGAACTTTAAATGAATATGAACATTAAATATTAGCTACACCAATTTGTGACTTATTTCTAAGTTGACAAGGTCTATAATATGAAATTAGTTTCTTTCGAACATTTAAAATTATTTATTAACAAATTGTTTCAAACCACAACTTGATTGAAATCAATGAGTGTCGCAAGTGCATTGTGAAACCACCACCGCCGTAGTCCGTAATGCGATACTCACATACATTTACTTAGTGGTACACCATACGTAACGCGATAGGTTGCGTTTGCGTTAGCGTGTACAATGTTTGGTCCATTTCGTTAATTTGGTCGCTATCAGATTTCGATTAGGTCATTAACCTTAGCCGACTTGAAAACAAGTCAATAAGTCTCAATGTATTTATGTTAATTGTTTCCCTTGACCTTTCTAATAGATTGTTATGTGTAACATATAAACAAGTATGTCTAAATTTGACATCTATGACTATAATATTAATAACAACTTAAGATTTTTCCACTGCAATAATTTATAAAAATAAAAAAATATCAAAATTCATTAAACTATTTTATGAATGTATAGTTTTTATATATTTTTTTTATAAAAGATTTTATACAAAAAAAAAAAATTAAACCCATTTGATCAAAAAACACACTTTAATTATATCTTATAATACACACAAAAAATAAATTCAATTTAAGAACTGTGTATTGTCCCAACCGAGAATCGAAACCGTGACCTTATTTACGAGAAGTGACGTGTCCAACGAGAATGAAAAAGATTGCTCAATAAAACCTCGAATCTATGTAACTTTTTAATGGTCTAAATACCGAAATGTATTACAGGTATTTAGACAGAAATACCTATGTTGTAATATTTTGAGGTCGCGTTTTTTTTTGCAAAGTTTACGTACGTGTACCATAGACATAGATAGTCATAGATGAAGCAAGTACACCAATCTGTATGACAAACTATGCGTGTTCTTAAAAATTATGCTACGTATTAAAAACACGTCTTAGATATTATTTAATAATAAAATATTGTTACACTTTCACATTAGTCGCCTAATCTTAAAGTTAGGAGACCTTGTAAATATAGGGTATAGGTAGGGGAAAGGATTGTTGGTAATGCGGATTATTAGTCCCATTGCTAGCATAATAACTTGTCTGTTTCAACGTGATTCCCCCTGGAAGCCATTTTGTTGAATTACAGATGTATTTATCACGATGTGCTAACTGGCCTGCCTTTTCATTCTCACTTATCATCTCTCACTGGTGCTCCGCCAACGTATACCATTAGCGCAGGTGGGGTAACCATTCCATTATCACCAATTACAAAAAAAAAATACAGGGTATAGAAACCTATCCTGTAATTTTATTTTATACTTACATAGAAAACTACTATATCTTGGGGGGAAAGGGATTGTTAGTAATGGAGACTGAGAATCCCATTGCTAGCAATATACCCAATCAGGTCGACTTCCTCGCGGTTCGCCCTGGAAACTATCATGGTTAATTCCTGATGAATTCATCATGATGGGCTAACTGACCTGTTTTCATTCTCATCTATCACCCTTCACTGGTGCTCCGCCAGCGTATCCCGTTAGCGCAGGCGGAGTTACCATACCATTTTCACCCATCAAAAAAAAAAACTACTATCTTTTTATAAGGGAAAATCTCTATTTTTTTTTTTACATTAAACGACAGAAATTGATATTTGTCAAATTGTTTTTCAAAATTGACAGATTGATTTTGGCGTTGCTAACGGTTGTCAGATTAACTGCCAATTTTCGCAGTGAACGATTTTAAATTTCGAACATTAATTCAGAACAACTTGTACAATGCACTGATTAATATTCCGTGTAATAAATTTAATTACTCGTATCTACAAAGGGAATGTGGGTATGATGAAATAAAGGTAACATAGCTTTGTTTGATATTGTTTGATTGATGAATCAAACAAGAACATCTGACAATTACGTTAAACCATAGATTGTACAAGATGAAATCCAAATTGATAATTGTCAGATCTTAACTATCCAATGCTGAACATAGGCCTCCCTCATACGGAGGTTTTGCCAGTAGTTGCCACGCTTAGAAGAGTTAGCAACCGCAGTTAGACTTCGGTGATGTTTTGAAAGGGACCCTGCTGCCCATTCTTCGACCATTAGGTCCCTTTAATTGCCTCTTACGACATTCACGGAAAGGAAGGTATGGACGATTCTATGGATGGACTACACGGTAAATCTAAATTACTTTAGTGTATTTCATTAGAAAATATATAATTTGTAATGATACATTTTATAATGTTGATATATTTGCCACTAAATCATTAAATTAAAAAGAAAAGTACCTAAACAATTAGTAACCTCCCGTCCTTTCTGAATTTAGTAACGCATGTACATAATTAGTAAATTATAAAAATTGCTATATATTTGAATATTTTTTTTTGTTTTTTGTATAATTGATACCGATGATGTGGTTGTGTCTATTCTTTTTATCTGACATAGAATGGCAAACAAGTTGACGGCTCATATGATGGAAAGTGGCAATCGTCGCCTATAGACGTGAGCAGTACCATGGATATAATAAAGTATACTGTTTCGCCCATGATAGCCCCCATGCGTTGTCATTAGGTCTATGAGTCTATGTGTGATAAATGTAATTTAATGAATAACTGTAATGGTCAACTTCACTTCTCGGTAAATTTGCATGTTTATATACTTTTTTTAGAGGAATAATACCTGAGTACAGAGGAATAACACCTGAGTCCTCAGGAATGGCAACGCATGGGGGTATCATGGGCGAAGCAGTATACTCTGTTATGTCCATGGTACTGCTCATGTCTATAGGCGACAGTTACCACTTCCCATCAGGTGGGCCGTCAGCTTGTTTGCCATTCTAAGTTGCATAAAAAATACTTTTCTTTTTTAAATTGTAATCTATGGTTAACTTTGTTGGTGGTACAATTAATCATATTTAAATGTAAATTTATTATCATAACATATTGTATTACTGTTTGATATAATAAAATAAAACTTAAGGAAAATATAAACAAATGCATAGGTAATTAAGTCGGTCACAAGACAGCTGCTAATAGGTGTATTGATAAAGAATCCATTAATTTATTGGTTTGTTTCGATTTGTTACTAATTTTATTTTTAAAGTATTTTTATGATAATTGCAACGAATCTTGGTTACTATTTTGTTTAACTCCATTTTTTTTTTGGTGGATGAAAATGGAATGGTAGCGCCTGCGCTAACGGGATGCGCTGGCGGAGCACCAGTGAAGGGTGATAGATGAGAATGAAAACAGGCCAGTTAGCTCATCATGATGAATTCATCAGGAATTAACCATGATAGTTTCCAGGGGGAACCGTGAGGAGGTCGACCTAGTTGGGTATATTGCTAGCAATGGGATTTTTAGTCTCCACTACTAACAATCCCTTACCTCTATTTATTTAACTCCATTAATTAACGCCGTGTGGTCCCGGCAAGAATAGGCCACCCCTTCCTTTCCCGTGGTTGTCGTAAGAGGCGACTAATGGAGGGCGAAGAATGGGCAGCAGCGTCCCTTTTAAAATATCTCCAAAGCCTAACCGCGGTTACCAGTTCCTTTGCCAAGCATGGCAACTACTGCCAAAACCCCTCAAGGGGGAGGCTTACGTTCAGCAGTGGACCGTCAAAGGCTGATATGATGACGATATTATGAAGTGTTCTTTAAATGTAATGTTCTATCATTGAAATAGCAATTTTTTCTGGATCTAGATCGAAAAAAGCATAAAATATTTTGACCTTCTCATGCATCATCAAAAATATCATTTGATTTACGATACATGTGATCTATATTTTTCGCGGCAATATTTGTTTCTATTTCACCCTAATGTTAGATTTACACGCTTGCTATTTGCCGCAAGACCAAAGCGTCTACAAACGCGATAAATGGTGAACGCAAATACAAGATCATGTACAAATATGTGGGTGCATTGTGAACTTCCTTTGAACGCTCGCACAAAAGCTGCAGGCTAGTGGTTCAGCGATAAATATTTGCTAGCTTATATAAACCAAAAGCAGAAATGTGTGAACTCTGCACTCGGTATTGTGCTTGGTTTTTATAATGTGTGTATATATATATATATATATATATATATATATATATATATATATATATATATATATATATATATATAATGCTAGTTGTAGATGTAAATCCATATGCATACAAATTCGTTAATATTACATTTTTTGTGAGTTCTTCTCAACAGGTAACGATTTTCCGAATCCTGCATTCATAAAAAATACGATTTAAAAGCGCTTGTAAATAAGTCTACTTGAATAATTGATAATTCGAATTCGAAATGCACTTGTAAAAGAAAAGATACGGCGATTAGTTTAACAAATTGTTAACAAGAGCGGGCTTATTTCTGAAAGAGATCTGTTCAAGCCAATCTAATGCAGTGAGATTGAAAATGATTAATAAATAATGAATAAATAAATAGAAAATGATGAGAGAAAATACTTGTACGGGGATCGGACCCGAAATCATTACAATATAAAAGAGTGAATGTAACCATTACATCACCAATGTCAAAGTCAAGTTCCTAAATCTTTAGAAATGATGCAGGTAAATCTTACTTGTCTAAAGAAGTTGGGTACATCTTCCTTCCTCTCGTACATGGTCTCCTGTGGTGAATGTAAATAGAATATCCTCCCGACCGCCTTCAGATGTTCACTCAGGGCATCCCTGAACCCGCTGTCCACTGTCGAATTGGCGTATGAGAAATCCACCGCCATTTTTCCGTTTTACCCAATGACAACCTGTGAAAGATCAAATAGGTTTTTAAAGTTTTTATATTTTTCAAATCATCACATTTATAGATATCATAAAGATACAAATATAAAAAAATGATTATTCAAATATGCTTATAATTCAGAGTCATCATCATCATCATATCAGCCTTTAACTGTCCATTGCTGAAAATAAGCCTCGCCTTTGGGAGGTTTTGCCAGTGGTTGCCACGCTTGGCAGACGGATTAGCAACCGCAGTTAGGCTTTGGAGATATTTTAAGAGGGATGCTGCTGTTCACCCTTGACCTTCCCTTAGTTGGCTGTTACGACACCTACGGGAAAGGAAGGGATGGCCTATTCTATGCCGAGACCGCACGGCAAAATGGATATTACCCATGCCTAATGCTAACACTGGGGGGAAAGGGATTGTTAGCAATGGAGTTTGACAGCCCCATTGCTAGCAATATGCCTTATTAGGTCGACCTCCACGTGGTTCCCCCTGGAAATCATCGTGAACAATTCTTGTTGAATTCGTCACGATGGGCTAACTGACCTACTTCATCCTCACCTATCATCCTTCACTGGTGTCCCGCCAGTGTACACCGATAGCGCGAGTGGGGTCACCATTCCATTATCATCCATTAAAAAAAATGCTAACACTTACATATCTGTTGATATATAGATAAACACGTTATCGCTACCGCATGCATGAGTTTAAACGAGACAACAACGTGCGGTCTGGATGTCGGGAATGTAATGTATTTACTGTATTTGTTACTTCCCACAATAGTTTCGACTTCATTCGGAAATCTTCTCGAGGGTAAGTATACTCATTAATAAAAAGTTTCGGAAACGACAAACACTTTTCATTAAATCCCGACATTCAGAATTGTATATCCTCAGATTGTATAGATAGAGCACAGAGTTTAAAAAATGGGTCAACTTTTAAAGCTAATTTTCAAATTAGCTAACTCGTTTTTTATATAATTTAATATAGAATAATTCTAATGATAATCAGTGATATGGACTTCCGAAAAATTAAACTCAGTTTAGTAAACTATTAGACGACGCTGATTATTTAAAATATTTATTTATTTTTTTAATCTTTCTTTCGGGGAAACGGAATAAAGTTTTGTGTACGAGAAATTAAAAGAATTTTTTGCCACCAAAACTCAGCTCATTAGACTTTCAAAGTTAAATTGTTGTGAAGAGCTGGCCAGTTGCACGGTCGTTCAAAACTGTCTATTGTTCCAAAACATTTTTTCACAAGATTTTTTTTATGTGCACCTAATTTATTTTTTCCTTATTGACAACTTTGTAACCCCCACACAGGGCATTGGGTTCACAGTTGAACTTCTGAAGGTATAAATTAAAATATGGTATATGTTTTATCCTGATTCGCCTATAAGACATAGTTTATTTCATTAAAACAAAGAAAATTGCCTCCAAATACTAATTTATAGTAACAAAATATATTTAATTTTTAACTTCGCCTTGTTTACATATATTTGAAATACACTATCAGTACGACTGTGTGGACGTGTACAGAGTGGACTGAAAGACGATGTAGTGACAAAAATCGAAAAAGGAATGTTGCGTTGGTTTGGTCATTTGGAGAGGATGGATGAAAGAAGAATTACGAAAGAGATTTATCTAGCAAGAATAAATAGAGATGTCGGTAGGGGCCTATATGGACGTATGTTGACCAAATAGGCGACGTGCTGAAGAAGGTCTAAATTAGAAGTACCCGTAACCGGCGAGCGCGTATGAAAGATTGATAAATATGGAAGAAGCGAAAGAGATTTGTTTAAATCGAAGCACTTGGCGTTCCATTGTTTCTGTCTACCCTAATGGGAGACAGGCGTGACAGATATGTATATATGTATGTACTATCGGGACTTAACGGGATGTAAAAGTTTTTACAGGTAAATAATACCTACATACATGCTTCTTTATTGCCGACGTTTCGACGTGGATCCACGTCGTATTTACGACAGAACTGAAGTGAGTGGCGTCTTTGTCTTCATTCCTGTTATGTCGTACAATCTACGTCGAAATGTAAGCAATAAATAAGTAGGTATGTAATTACTTGGAAAAAATTTTCATCGCGTTAATTCCCGATAGTGTATTTAAAGAATATATCTACTTTAAAAGTAAACATTTTGACTACGGGTTGTATCTGGTGAACAAAGTAATGCAGATGTTAGCTATTTCTGTTTGTAAATCTGGAGTGTTTCCAAAAATAGCGGTGAAGATTCATTATTAGAATCGAAGTAGGTCTGTACATGTTTATTATAGTAATCATTGCACGTTCCCAAAAACATCTGGCGCAATGTCAATAAAATGTATTTTTTTTATACCACTGAGGTGGAAAACATGCATGCGGCCCACCTGATGGTAAGCGATTACCGTAGCCTATGAACGCCTATAATACTAAAGGTATTACCCGCGTGTTGCCTACTCTGAAGAAAACTCTTTACTCCCCTTTTGAAGAACCCCATGCTGTAGTCTCTTGGGAAAACCTCGGCAGGGAACTCATTCTATAACCTGAGTGATTGTGGGAGAAAATATCTCTGAAACCGCGTTGTACGTGACTATTTAGGCTGTAGGGTATGAGAGTGAACTCCCTGTCGATGGGGAGCTATGAATGATGATGATACAGCTGCTAATTATTGTCTGCTGAACATAGGTCTTCCTTAAGGGTATTTCTAGTAGCAGCCGTGCTTGGCAGTGAGGTTGGCAACCGCATTTAATAGTTGAAGCATGGACAGCAGCGCCCCTCTTAAAATATCACCAAAGCCTAACTGCAGTTGCTAATCTGCCTGCCAAGCATGGCAACTACTAGAAACCCCCCAATAAGGGGAGGCCTACTTTCTGCAGTGGACAGTCAAGGGCTGAAATAATAAATGTAGAAATTCGATAAGAATTTCACGGTAGAAACACGAATGGGACAAAGTTGCCCAAGCAGACGACTGTTGTACAAGATTTCCCTTTGATCCAAATAATAATAAGTCATAATTCGAGGATGTTTCTTTTTTAATTTTTTTTTAAACTAAACATCGAATTTCAATACGGGTTTCATCATATTTTTTTTACATATGCCTGATACTATACAATGCAACTTTTTTTTTTATAATTCAATGTTTTGAATGAATATTTAACGGATGTTATCTTGTATCAAAATAATTATAATAAAGTAATTAACTGTGACATAGTTTATTTATGACGGAAATTAACAGACTTCATTCTATTTATGTGTCGATAAATCATTAAATGTACGGACATCGTCATGAGAATTAAATTATATAAACAATTAATCATTTTCTACGACCTTGTAATGTAATTTTATGTGAATTTATGATAATTTTTATCAGCACTGGTTCAGTAATCTGTTGCCTTGCTATATATAAATAAATAATGTAGTTTTATTTTTTGTATGTTAATTTTTAACAAATAAATCGATAGTATTTTAAGAGTTTCTTTTAATAATAAAATCACATAATTTTTTTTACTGTTACTTCATTATTCTAACTGTTCTTTATTACAAGTTTATCGACATTGTGTTCTCATTTCTTTAATATGTACGTATTGTTTAATTAGTACATATAAATATATTTATTTGGTTTACATATATGTATATACGTATTTATTTCAATTTTGCAAATACTTTTTATTTTTATTTTGATTTCTGTTTTGCATTCCTGTTGTCCACTCACCATTTCCTATGCTACTGCGTTAGGTTGATAAGAAGAGATCTCTTTTAAAGATAAGTTCACGTTTGCTTACATTGTTTTTAATTATTATTATTATTACTGTATATTTTAGTGGTTTAAAGAATATTGAACCTGAGATCTTGTCATAAAATTCTGTAGATATTAAACTTTTTAATGAAATTTGTAACCCTACATTGCGGCTAACTGGTGAGCAGTTAACCCGAGTGCATTATATTTTCGCTCGTTTTTAAACCAAGTTTAATTAAAAACTTTTCTACATATTATAGAATTCAACGACGGAATCTTAAGCTATAACATTTAGGTTCGCAAAAAATATCTGACTTTAAACTTAACAGAATTTGTTATCTGAGATACAAAAAAATACATACGGATTTAGAATTAATGAATATAGGTTAGGCTTTGATGATGTTTTAAGAGAGATGCTGCCCATCCCTCGTAGTTACCTCTTATGGTATCTACAGGAAAGGAAGGGGTGGTCCTTTCTATACTGGGACCATACGGCGCGGCATTTCAAATGTACGTTTTATATAAATTTTCTAATTTATATAAATATTATAAATATTCCTAATAAACAAAAAAACATAGTTGAATTAAAAAAAAAGCTGAGTTGTGGCCATTTTGTATTACTGCTACAGTAATACAAAATGGCCACAACTCAGCTTTTTTTTTTGAAACACGCATGAAGAAAAAAAAATTGTTACTAATTTTATGCATTCTGATTTTGTTTTTGATTTTTATTTTTTTCATTTTTGTACATGTATCTTTTTTTATCTTTTTTCACTTTGCATTTGTGTCTTCTACTATTTGTGTGCTGTAGGTAATGCAAATAAATTATCTATCTATCTATCTAATTAACAAATTTCCCTATTTTGAAATTGGTTATAAGTGCAACAACAAACGACATGTGGTCTCGGTATAGAATAGGCCACCCATTCCTTTCCCATGGATCTCGTAAGAGACAACTAAGGAAACTTAATAGTCGAGGGAAAATCAACAGTGTCCCTCTTAAATCATCAAAGCGGGTCCTATCCGCCTGCCAAGAGTGGCCAAGGGGGGCAAAACCTCCCTATAGGTGGAGCCCTATATTCAGCTAACGGCTGACATGATCATGATAATGTAATGAAAGAATTATTATTGTCAACTGTAAGTAATTTACTTTCTAAATATTATATATTATTTGTGTCGAAAGAAATTATGTTGAGTGATCCATTCAATATGACATTTATTCACTCCAGTATATTATATTAGAGTAATGAAATATCATAATGTATATATATATATATATATATATATAT